AAAAAAAAAAAAAAAAACAAGAATGAAAGAATATTGAATATAAATTTCTCTAAAGAAAGAATATAATGAAAAGGAAAGAGAGAGAATAAGAGTACTTTATGTGAATCCATCAGCATATGGTGAGAAGCAATAACTTTGTCTGATGGTTTCTATTGGATCTCTTTCTTGGAATGAGTAGTGAAACTATGATCGTGAATGAAAATGCGGAGCGACGAAGAGTAAGCAGAAAATAAACAAATTTTTCTTCGTTAGGATTAAAATTTTCTATATTGAATTACCTTCTGCGGAAGACACATATGAAGAGTGAAAGCAACAAAAAAAAAAAAAAAAAAAATTTTTCTTTTTTGCTGTTTTTTTTTTTTCGTGTACCACACATTTTTCTTTATTATATATTTATATATATTTATATATATATATATTTCTTTTTCTCTTTTTTTTTCTTTTTTTCTCTTTCTTGAACGCCCCTTCCTCTAGTGAGAGAGTATCGCAGGTGAAGGCAAAGATACCATGGCAGATTTGGCCCGCAGCGCCGTGCTTGTCTCCTCGGAGCCGATCCACCCCAATTCTCTCCCGGCGGACGTGAAGAGCGACGGCGGCGCCCCGCCGGTGGTTGAGGGGCCGACGGGCGACGATTTGAACTCCGCAGCGGCGGCACTGCGGCGGTACGCCACAACGGGATTTCAGGCCTCCCACTTTGCGCAGGCCGTCGCCATCTGCAGCAATATGTTGAGGCCGCAAGTGCCATCAAATGTGCTTCCACCATCGCAGTCACAATCCACAGCGCCGGCGGGTGAGTTGAGTGGAGTGCAAGGGAGTGGGGATCAACCAGCGGTGTTGGTGCAGCCAAGTATATTTCTTGGGGTCACGGCGAATTTGTTTGGTACAGGCTGCAGAGAGGCTATTCGGTTTCTATGCAAAGAATCTGTTCCACTTCCGAGTGGGGTGGAACCAGCAGTTTTGCCGGACCCGATGCTAGACCCAGTAAGAAATAATAATCATAATGATGAGGATACTGTTATTCCCGTACCCTCCTTTGCCTCAAAGGCACTAATTCACACAATTGTTGTGAGTGGAGGTGCGATGGAACACGATATTCGACGCGCCTGTGAATCTTATGAGATTTCCCTCGACCATGGAAATGAGGAAATGATGATGACGATGATGAAGAAAGGGCAGCAGCAGCAGCAAAAGAGTGATGAACCTAATAAGAAGAAATTTCGCTTTGGTAATATTTTTTACAGTAACGGGAATAATACTACAATGATTGCTAACAATAACAATGCATCACCTTCTTTGTTTGATGTTGTTATGCGCCGTCTTGTGCTCAGACTGAATACACTACAACAACGTTGTAAAGTTTCATGCGCTGCACGTCCTATTACTACACCTTATGAAGACGTCTGCTCGTGGGCTATTTCCCCAAGTACTGTATGGTATTTAGCAGGAAAATGGATGCCGGAGCTTTTATTAGAAGCTCTCATGGAAGTCAATGGAACCATAACAACAACAACAACAAAAGAGGAAGAAGAGAAAAAAGAAACAGAAATTGCAGGAAACAGGGGAGATGAGAAATCACTGACAGAGGAGGCGCAGAAGCGCGCAGAGAGTACTGTACTGTACTGGGCAGCAAAGAATGATGTGCCTATATTTTCTCCATCCTTTGCAGATGGAGATATTATGCAGTTTATTCTTAATGCTGGTGGACCACTGCTGCAGTTAGACCTCGTTACGGATATTCACCGCATTAATCGTTTCGCGATGCGCAGCCGTCGCACCGGTATGATCATACTAGGCGGCGGTGTTGTGAAACATCACGTGTGCAATGCGAATCTCATGCGTAATGGGGCTGACAGCACCGTCTTTATTAATAACGCGCAGGAGTTTGACGGTAGTGACGCCGGTGCACGGCCGGATGAGGCGATTTCGTGGGGAAAAATACGCCTCGATGGTGAATTTGTGAAGGTGTACTCTGAAGTATCGCTTGTATTTCCACTGCTCCTCACGGAAGTGTTTCTGCCGTACGTTCGGGACGCGCGGGGTCTTTCAGGCACAGCGTAGAAACAAGAGTATAGTTTCGGCAATGGTGGGAAAGAGAGGTGTATTTCCAGCATATTTGTATTTGTACACGATGTTATTGCCAATTTATGCTGGAATTGGAAAGAATTTAAACTCAATAATGAATTTTTATTTTTATTTTATTTCCGTTTTAACTGTCGGTCTCACTTTTACTGTTGCTTCTCCAAGTAAGAGAAACATCATCAAGAATTGGAGAGAGTAAAAAAAATAAAATAAAAAAAAAGGAAAGAAGAAGGAATAAGATATGATTATTCACTATTTTCTTTGGTGAGACACGATATTGCTGCGAAGATTACACGTCCGCTGCAGGTATTCTTTTGTTTCCTTTATTATTATTATTATTATTATTATTATTCCCCCCCTCTCCCTAATTGGTATTGAATGACACATTCTTTTGATTTTCGGTTGGAATGGGGTAATTGAAAAGAAAAAAAAAAGAATAAAAAATAGTGATCATAACAGTAGATGGTTATTTTGTACTACATCAAATAAGAAAAAAAGCAACAAGTTTTACTTGGTAATTTCTACTTCCCACAACTACTTGTATTATGGACATTCCTTCGTTGTTGGATTTTAATCGAATACATGAGGGTGGAGATGGTGTGGGATCTACTCCACTTACGGCGGCAACAACATTCTTCAATGCATTCCAAGTATTATCAGGTAACTGCACGAGCGATGGACCGGTTAACGTTCACCCACTAGGCATGATTGGGGATGTGATGATGGCATTGTGTATGGTTGCTATTTCTCGGCATTTCTACCATTTCGTTCTGGACACGTGGCCTTCATGGGCAATGAAATTTTTCTCAAGATGTTTCTCTACAAATCGTTCAAAGAATGCCGCTGTTGTTGATGTGTTTTCGCAGCAACCGGAGGAGTATGCCTTTGACAATGAACTGTTGGTTCACGCAATGGAGCGGTATGTGGCGCACCTCATCTCTCTTCCGGGTGATGGTGAGAAAACACAACAGGCAGACACACACAATAGTGACGTTGTGGCTGCTACTTCTTCTTCATCTGCTACTACTACTACTACTACTACTACTACTAATAATAATAATAATAATAATAATAATAATAATAATAATAATAATAATAATAATAATAATAATAATAGTGTTGGGGATAATAGAGATGGAGCGAGGCGTCTAAACTTGCATCAGCTGCGCGCGGCGGAGTTCCGCTATGTGCCGATCACGTCGCTGGAGGGTGTGTGCCGCAGCGGCCTGGCGAGTACACTGCGGCGGTACTTCCGTCTTGTGTTGGTCCCCGCTGATGGACACACCGTGGAGGTGGAGCCTGGACTAACTGTGTGTTTCCAGCAGCAGAGAGTGTCGGGGGCGATACTTGGAGCAAATAAAGTTATCTCACGACGCCAGGAGGATCAACAGCAAGAACGAGAAGAGGAAGATTATCAGGAACAACTTATGAAGGAATTTATCCCGATTAACTTTGATACTAAACGTGTTAAGCTTGCATTGTCGTCATCAAGTAGTAAGAAAAGCGATGATGAAAGCGAAGAATCTGAAAGTACTTACAACAACGAAAAAAGTTTTGATTATGAAGACATGGATATTGTGAATCCCATAGGGGCCCCGGGAAAAAAAGTACAACAGTATCTGGTGCGACAGGCTGTATTACAGTGTACAGACTGTAAAAGTGGAAAGGAACGAATTATGAATTTTGCCAGACGTGCGTATGCCTGGTACTATCCTACAGTGGCACAGACAGTTGAACGGTACTACTTCTATCCTGCTAACTCGGAGTTGGAGGAAGCGATGAAAAGTACAGAATATGTACCAAATGAAGTTAGTCAAAGACTTCACATGCGACGTTCTTTGCTTTCACATAGCAGGAATAGTTTTCATACACTTTTTTTTCGTGAGAAGACGCATCTTATTCAAACTATTAGTGAGTTCAAGGATAAAAAAGGGAAATTTGCGGTACCAGGAGTACCACAACAGTTGGTAATACTCTTACATGGTCCACCAGGAACAGGAAAGACCAGTGTTGTACGCAGTGTAGCGGCATTCCTCAATCGACATATTGTTGCAATCCCTATTGAATTTATTCAAACAAATGGTGCACTACAGGAACTTCTCAGTGGTGGTACAACAATGCTTCATGGTGAAACATGTGTTGGATCTGATGAAGAAGAAGAATGGAGTAATTATTTTTCAGATCTAGATCGAAAACCAATGTGCTTCGATCTTTCGGCTGATCAGGTTGTATATGTGTTTGAAGATGTTGATGTGGTGGCTGACATGGTTTCGTTTCAAGTAACAGCTGAAGAGCGCAAAGAGATTTCCAGAAAATTCATAAATGCAGAAAATGAAAAAGTTCAAAGTGAAGAAAAAACTACAAGTAATAGTAGTAGTAGTAGTAGTAGTAGTAGTACTACAGATATAAAGAAAGGTTCTTCCGCAGTTGCCGTTAGTGACGAGGCAAAGGAAGAAAAAAGTACTCAGGAGGAAAAAAGTACTCGGGAAGAAAAAAGTGCTCAGGAGGAAAAAAGTACTCAGGAGGAAAAAAGTAAACAGAGTGAAGAGAGTTATGGAAGTTCTAGTGATCAGGTGAAACAATTGCGTTCCTACCAGAAACTCTTCGCAACTGATTTTCTTTCTCCAGAGGGACTACTACGTGCTGTGGAAGCCAATTTTGCACCACCCGGACGTGTTATTATCTTTACTACAAATCATGTGGAACGATTGCCTGACGTTCTATGGAGGCCTGGTCTCTTGACATTATCTCTTCACATGGATATACTAAACGCAGAGACAGCAATGCAGCTTGTCACACACTACTACAGTGATTCTTTCACTCCAGAACTACAGAGGCGTTTTGAGGAATTGTTTGCACATTTTGAGGCTGAGGGATCAACAAGTGTTATGACCCCCGCATGGCTGCAACAAATTATACTGAACTGTGATAATCTAGAGGAGGTATTGCAGGAACTGGAATCTCGACGGTAATTTTTTTTTTTTTTTTCCATTTCATTGCACATATATATATACGAGGTCTTTGTTCATGTGTCTATGTGTGTATGAGAAAAAGAGAGAATGGAAGAGAGAGAGAGAGAGAGAGAGAGAGAGAGAGAGAGAAAAACAGAGATAACTTTACATATGACCTTGTGCACTTTTTTTTTTTTTACTTATTGCATATTGTATTCTCTTGTCAGTGTTTTCTTGTTCCTTCTCCTCTTAGATATCTATCATATACATTATATATATGTATTTATATTTCTTGTTAAATTTACATCTTCTTCTTCCTTATTTTTTTCTTTTGTGTCTATATTTTTATATATGTACTATTCGAGGTCGAAGAGTGCCTAAAGGAAAAGAAAAAAAAAAAGAGAACAGCGAAGCAGTAAGCAAGTAAAGCAGTAAAAATGTCGGTTCCGATGATTCCCATCGATCCCGAAAAGCGGGACGATATCTACTACCGCTACAAAATGCCTGCTATCCAGACAAAGGTTGAAGGCAGTGGTAATGGTATCAAAACTGTTTTCCCAAATATTCATGACGTGTGTCTCGCAATTAATCGTCCAGAAGAGATTCTTATGAAGTTCTTTCAGTCTGAAATTGGTGCCCAGCGCACAGTGTTAGAGAAGGATGATAAATTTCTTATCATGGGAAGTCATACAGAGGAACGTGTTCAAGAGAAGGTTTACGATTTTGTTCGTAAGTTCGTTCTTTGCCGTAACTGCCGTAACCCTGAAACACAGTTGTTCGTTGAGCGGGGAAAGAAGAATGCATCACCTATTAGTCTTTCCTGCGGTGCTTGCGGTAAAGTCATGCGATTGAATGACCTGGACCCCCGTTACGTCACCGCCCTCGTGACGTACTTTGCCAAGAATCCGCATTTGGTCCACAAGAAGGGCGCGGGGACGGCGGAGGCCCGCGGCGGCGATAATAAAGAAGCCACCGCCGCTGCCGCCGCTGGAGCTGCCGCCGCCGCCGCCGCCGTTCCAACGGCCGGAAGAGCCGTCGTTCAAAAGTCCGACTTGGAGGACACCCGCGAACCGCCGCAAGATATTCTTGCACGCTGTATGCGGCAACACTCGGAACACCCGGAGGAGATCATGCGATGCTGCATGGAACTTATGTCATCTTACAATCTTAAGGAAAAGATGGGTCCCTTGCTTGTGCTTAATGCAATTATAATGGCAGAGGACGAATTTATGGCAGGTCTCCGACGTCACTCAAATCTTTTGAAGCGTTTTTCCACTGTCTCTGAAGCCGCAATGCTCGGTGGAGCTGTTGACGAGGCGGTTAAGACAGGACTAATGAAACGTGAAAGTCAACTGCAGAACGCTACCATTGATGAGTGTGCCCGTCTTTGTTCAAAACGCCTAAAACCAGATCAACTGGTGGTGATTCTTTTTGTCCTTTTCACGGAGGGTGTGTTGAAGGACACTTCTATTATTGAATGGTGTGTTAACGCCACACCCGTATCTAAATTGGACCCCAAATTGGACGCAGAGATGAAGGAAAAATCTAAGCCGTTTGTTGAATGGTTGAATGCAGGAGGTATAAAGGAGAATGAGGATGCGTAGAGGTATCATTTTTTTTTTTTTCTTTTCTTTTGTTCTTGTTCACTTTGTCTTTCCCTTATTATATATATATATATATATATATAATATTATTTCTCTCTCTCTTTCTGTCCGAATGTCTGTCATCTGTCTTTATACATATATGTGTATGCATTATCCATTTGTGAGTTCAAACTTAGGTAGTTACCTGCTTTCCTAACGCGTATAATGAAGAAAATTTTATGAGAGATAAGGTAAGAATTGGGAAAGTTATAGGTTCTATTTTCAACGCTTATTCATCTTTAGGTGATGATTAATGGGATGAGTTGAGAAGAAATATAATAAAATAAAGGGAAAGTTTTTGTGTGCTACAAAGAAAAAAAAAATGAGAAACTGTGAAAATGAGTCTGCTCTGGAAAGGACAAGTACGTGTTTTAATTCACTTAATCGAACACGCAGGAAGAAGAAGAAGGCGAGGATTATTGCTGCAGATTGTTAAAAAAAAAGAAAAAAAAGAAAAAAACCGCATACCTTCACGGATATGTCAACGGTTAAAATAAAGAGAAGGTGAAAAAAGTTGAGGTAAAAATCTCTTTAATTTGAAAAGGGGAGGTGGAAAAGTTTTCTTATTTGAATTTTATTCATTTTTTTTTTTTTATTCTTATTCTTCTTATTTGTTTCCATCAGCAAATTAAACGCATCGTTGTGATAGCTCACAATTGCACACTCACACACACACATACACACACAGAGAGACTCACACAAAGACACAGTTACATTCATACATAGGTGTAGAAAAAAAAAAAAAAAAGACTCATTGGTTTAATTTACACATTTTAAGTGAGTGGGGTTGTATCAAATGCGAGTAAGTGCTGGTGGTGGTACCATTGCGGCCCCATTGTTGCTACCTCAGCAGTTTGTTGAACCATTACCAAACGCGCCGGTAGAAATTAGTGAGCTACATTATGGTCTTCTCTCTCGTGGTGATATTCACCGTCTCTCTGTTCTTCCATGTCGCCGTGTTATTGGAGCAGTAAAGGAGTACGGTGTGAATGATGCTCATCTCGGCGTATGTGATCGTGTTTCAGTGTGTGCCACCTGTGGACTGCGTAGTATTGACTGCGTTGGTCATCCAGGACACATTGATCTTGAGGTACCAGTCTTTCATCTTGGTTTCTTTACTACTATTCTTCGTATTTGTCGAACTATCTGTAAACGTTGCTCTCATGTTTTGTTAGATGATTCGGAAATTGAATACTATAAGCGAAGACTTTCATCTACAAAACTTGAACCACTGCAACGTGCGGCGCTAATTAAAACTATACAGACGGATGCTTATAAAACGCGTGTATGTCTAAAGTGTGGTGGATTAAATGGAGTGGTACGACGAGTACGTCCTTTAAGACTTGTTCATGAAAAATACCGTGTTGATCTTCGCCGTGGTGAAGAGTCTGTTGAGAATACAGAAGTTTTTTTTGAACATGATATGCGTACAGCACGTACTTATAATAAGGTAATAGATGAAAACAAAGAAAATATTCACGATTTCTTAGATCCTGTACGGGTAAGACAATTATTCCTTGCGGTTCCACCAGAAGAAGTTATACTTCTCGGTTTATCTCCAGGCACAAGTCCTGTAGATTTACTCGTAACAACACTTTTGGTACCTCCTGTTCCTGTACGTCCGCGTGGTACAGCTGGGACTGGAACAATTCGTGATGATGATTTAACAGGACAATATAATGATATTCTCGTTAGTTCTGATACATTACAGGATGGTTCACTAGATGCCACTAAATACACAGAAACTTGGGAAATGCTTCAAATGCGTTCTGCACGATTGCTTGATTCTGCATTACCTGGTTTTCCTCCAAGTATGCGTACAGCTGATGTAAAATCATACGCACAACGTTTAAAAGGTAAACATGGAAGATTTCGAGGAAATCTTAGTGGAAAACGTGTAGATTTTTCTGGTCGTTCTGTTATTTCACCAGATCCAAATTTGGATGTGGATGAATTAGCAGTTCCTTTACGTGTTGCTCGTGTTTTGACGTATCCTCAGCGTGTTTTTAAGTCAAATTTAGAACTTATGCGACGATTAGTACGCAATGGACCTCGTGTTCATCCAGGTGCCATTACAGTTTTTTTGGCACAGGAGGGATCGAAAAAATCGCTTAACAATGAACGTGATAGGGAAGCACTTGCGGCTCGATTAAGTGTTGGAGATGTGGTAGAGCGACATGTTATGAATGGTGATGTAGTTTTATTTAATCGTCAACCTTCACTTCATCGTATCTCTATGATGGCACATCGTGCACGTGTGTTACCATTTCGTACTTTTCGATTTAATGAATGTTGTTGTGCCCCATATAATGCCGATTTTGATGGTGATGAAATGAATGTTCATCTTGTACAAACTGAAGAAGCACGTGCAGAAGCGTTTCAGCTTATGTCAACAGCGAAGAATATTATTACAGCTAAAAATGGTGAACCTATTATTGCGTGTACACAAGATTTTCTTGCTGCAGCTTATCTCGTAACTGCACGTGATATATTTTTTGACCGTTCACAAATGTCCCAGATGGTAGCCCATTGGCTTGGTCCAGTGACTCAATTTCGTTTACCAATACCAGCTATACTAAAACCAGTAGAGTTGTGGACGGGTAAACAACTCTTTGAACTTATTGTTCGTCCCTCACCTGGTGTGGATGTATTGTTGAATCTTGAAGCCAGCGCAAAGTTCTACAGTAAACGTGGGAAGTATGATTGTCCAGCGGAGGGCTATGTAGCTTTTCTGGATTCATGTTTTATCTCTGGTCGATTGGACAAAAAATTGCTTGGTGGTGGAGCCAAGGATGGACTTTTTGCTCGTCTACACACTCTTGCAGGAGGTGCCTACACCGCACGTATTATGTCTCGCATTGCTCAATTCACCTCCCGCTATTTATCTAATTACGGTTTTAGTCTTGGACTTGGGGATGTCGCCCCAACACCGCAACTAAACGCACAGAAGGCAGCAGTACTCACACGCTCCTTCGCCACATGTGATGCACTCATCGTGGCTGCAAAGACGGGCCGTATGGAACCACTTCCTGGTCTCACAGTACGACAATCACTTGAGGCACGCCTTAACGCAGAATTATCAAAAGTACGTGATGAGTGCGGTACAGCTGCTGTAGAGACACTTTCTATTGAGACAAACACACCACTTATGATGGTACAATCTGGAAGTAAAGGTAGTGCCCTAAATATTGCGCAAATGATGGCATGTGTTGGACAACAAACTGTAAGTGGAAAACGTATTTTAAACGCTTTTCAAGATCGTTCATTACCACATTTTTACCGATTTGAAGAAGCTCCAAGTGCACGTGGTTTTGTTGCGAATTCTTTTTACTCTGGTTTAACACCTACCGAATTTTTCTTCCATACAATGGCTGGTCGTGAAGGTCTTGTAGATACGGCTGTTAAGACAGCTGAGACAGGGTATATTTACCGTCGTCTTATGAAAGCTATGGAAAACCTCAGTGTACGTTATGATGGTACAGTGCGAAACACAAGAGGAGATGTGGTACAATTGAAGTTTGGAGAAGATGGACTCGATCCACAACTCATGGAAGGTGTTGCAGGAACGGCATTGAATTTGGATCAGGAATGGTTAAGTGCACGTGCAGCGTATGCAAGGTGGGTTGTGGAATACCATAGTTTTTCTAAAACCAATACCAATAATATCAATAATACTAAAAAAATTGTGGATAATAAGGAAAGTACGAAGAATACGAGAAGAAAGAAAAAAAATACTGACCTTAATACTCCATCTAATCTTGATGACGAATTTATTTCCTTACTTCCTACTGAAGTGCCTTCCTTTGTTGCGGCTTGTTTGAGTGGGGACCGGTCAGTATTGGAATCCTGTGAACGGCAAGAATATGAAGAAGAATGTAATCAGAACGAGAGATGTGTTCAAAAAGTAGGAGAGGGTCAATCTCAGAAACAACAATCCCGATCACGACGAGCGGCATTAATAGCTAGTCTTGCAAGTATGAGTAGTATGAAGTTCAAGGAAGATGTTCAAGCTTTCTTTATGAAAAAGGTTAAAGAACAAGAACGAATTCGAACTTTGCTTGAACTCTCCTCAAATGCCCGGGAACGAATTGGTAAAAAAACTTGTAATGAAAATGCTTCCACGAAAGCAGAAGAAGAAAAAGAAGCCAGTGAACTTCGACTTCTTGAAACACTTCAAACAGAACTTTTACCATTAACACGTACAATGGTAACCCGATTTCTTGCCCAGTGTGGAAGCAAGTATATTCACAAAATTTGCGAACCTGGTACTCCATGTGGAGCTATTGCTGCACAATCCGTTGGTGAACCAAGTACACAAATGACATTACGAACATTTCACTTTGCTGGTGTAGCAAGTATGAGTATTACACAGGGTGTACCACGTTTAGTGGAAATTATTAACGCTAATCGCAATATTGCAACTCCAGTAGTAACAGCACCGGTACGAAGATTACTTGTACAACCAATGAAAGGAAATGAAAAGGCTGAAGAAGAATCACAAGAGGTTTTTGAACAACGTGTACGAGGAGTAAAAGCTCAGGTAGAACGTGTATTACTTAAGGAAATAACCTCAGAAATGGTAGAAGTTTGTACGGCAACTGAGTTTTATCTCCGTATACACCTTAATATGTCTGTTATTTCAAAACTTCGTCTTCCTATTAATGCTATTACCGTACGAGAACGAATTTTGGCGGCAGGAGCTCGACCCATGTCTCCATTGCGTTTACTACGTGAAGATTGTATTGAAGTGATGAGTCTTGATACACTTGCTGTCTACCCATACTTTCTTGAGGCACACCGTGTTCATTTTAACATTCGCAATCTACTAACATTACTACCAGATGTTGTTGTGGGTGGTATTGCTGGTATTAATCGTGCGATGATTTCCTCCAGCGGGGCGGAAGTACTTGCAGAAGGGGCAGAGCTGCGGGCGGTGATGAATCTTCCAGATGTGGATGCACCGCGTGTGATGTGCAATCACGTTGCTGTAGTGGAACGGGTATTGGGCATTGAGGCAGCGCGGCAAGTTATTGTAAGTGAGATACAAGGCATTCTCAAAGCATACAGTCTTAGCATTGATGTGCGGCATGTGTATCTCTTAGCCGATCTGATGACCCAACGTGGTGTGGTGTTGGGTATCACACGATATGGTATTCAAAAGATGAACTTTAATGTTCTCACAATGGCCTCCTTTGAGCGTACGACGGATCATCTCTACAGTGCAGCCGCAACACAACGTGTGGATAGGAACCTTAGTGTGTCGGAGAGCATCATTGTTGGTAAGCCAGTTCCACTCGGGACAACTTCCTTTAACCTCATTTTTGATTGCCAAGATATTTCATCTACGGTATCTACATCCAAGAAGAGTGCAGTTGGACGTGTAAAGGGTGTAATGGGTAAGAGTTATCATCATCATTGTACGCCTCATGTGGCACCACTAGCAGCAGAAGGAGCTTTCCATCTGGATATCTTCTAGTTATTGAAGATATAACTGTTTTATTATTATTATTATTATTATTATTATTATTATTATTCTTACTTCTTCTGTTGTGTTGGGTCTTGCGGCGAATACATTTTCCTAATTATCTCGCGCATGTTTTTGTTGTTGGTTGTTGTTTATTTTTGACTTTGGAGCCAAAGTACACGAGGGTGTGAAAATGGAAACTTTTCGAATAAAATGAATGAAGAAAGAAAATGAAACAAAACAAGTAAAAAAGAAAAAGAGAAAGATGATCAGTAAAAAAAAAAAAAAAAAGTGAAAGGAAACACCAAATGAGATTGAAAGTGTGTGAAAAAATGAATGAATGAGTTTGGTGAAAAGGAAAGGGATGTACAATATAAACAGAGAATATTACTGAACTCAAGCGAAAAAAAAAAAAAAAAACCCTGCCGAAAATAAAATAAAAAATATATTCGTTTTCTTTTTCTTTTGTTTTTTTCTCCAGTATAATATTGTATGTAGGGTAATACGACAAAATAGGAGCTATCAGAACTTCACACATACACCGATAAAAAGAAAAAAGAAAAAGAAAAAGGAGCAAAAAAAAAAAAAAAAAGGGTTTGAAGTATTTCATTTTATTTCCCCAATGGAAAGAACAAGAGTGCGAGAAACTGATTATCCAGAGTCACACTCCAATGGTTCTGAAGTAGGCCCTACAACTGAGGGAGCTACGCTTACAAGAGAAAGAAGACATGACTCACATCTCCCTCTTCCCTCAGGGACAGTTGGAACACATTTAAGTGCAACACCCGTTAAAAATACTGGAATCGGGGGTTTAGACGATAATGTCTTTGGTACTGCCTCAGAGAGCACCTCCAACTCTACACGTAATTTTGCCACGAGCCGTAAAGTTCAGAAATTATTGGATGTCACTGTTAATGACAACTTTCGTGAACTTGTGTTGTACATGAATGATGCCGTACCGGAATTTTTGGAGAGTTTTCTCTCTCCAGCTGGTGGTGACGCCTCAACTATTGAAAAGGATAATGCCTCTACAGTACATCAATCTCCTCAAAATACGGTTGCTCTTTCTTCTACCGCCAATTCAACATTTTCTTCCTCCTCAACGGCACTTCGAACAGCGTTAGAGGGGCGTGTGGTGGACTTACATCGTCATTTTTTGCAGGAATGGTCAATGCTTAACGAAGTCTTTGAGGAAGCGTCCGATTTGGTTTCAAAACTTAACCAGGAAAGTGAATTACTTGAATCAACTTTAAATGCTCACGCCGTACAGGCTGAAGAATTTGTTGCCCGAATGACAACGCTACAAGCTGAACTTTCACTAGTACAACAACGTGAGAAGGAAATGCGGGAGTTTCAAGAAAAATATCACTTCGCCGCAGAAGAGCAGGCAATTCTTGAAGAAAGTCCTGTTGATGCGGCGTATCTTGATGTTCTGCGCCGTGCACAAGTGACACACCGCAAGTGTCGTGAGTTACTTTTATCACGTGAACACTATCAGAGTGCTGCTGCGGTGATGGATATCACATACACTGCTATTATGAAAGGTACAGAAAAAGTTGCACGCTTTCTCATGTCAGCATCATCCAATGCACCTGGTGCAACACCTACAAATGCCGCAGCATTTGGAGGAGATTCACCTGAAGTGACAAGTTTTTACCTTCGATGTGTACATTTTCTTCGTGAAGAGAATATAAATCAATGGGCAGCAGTTGTGGAAGAGGTGGCCCGACTCCGGCGTGCTGCAGTGTTGCGTCAATACTTTCATCTTATGACAACAGGTTCTGTAACCACATCAAGTGGTACATATCGTGCTGGAGGTAAAAGTGATGAATCTTCTTCACAAGCAACTGGAGGGACACGACCATTGGAAGCAGAAATCAGTAATCCTGTTTTTTTCTTTAGTTCACTTTTTGCTTGGTTACATCAAGTAATTGTGGATGAAGATGATTTTTTCTCTGCTTTTTTCTCACTACCACCAACAACAGCGAGTGAAGGAAATACCACTACAACAGGAGTAATACCTGTTGAGAAGGATACTGTAGGTATCCGTGATGATGAAACTAATGCCCTTTTAGCTGGAGGTGGTGTTTTCAATGAAAATACGGGATCTGGTTTACCTGTAAGCAAATCTGCTATACTTGATTCCGTATTTGAAGTTCTCTGTAAGCATATTCAGAGTGTACTAGAAGGTGTACTGGAACGGTTTTTACGTAATGCATCGAGTCTTCATGATGGAGATTCTTCTTCTTCTTCTGCTGCTGCCGCTGCTGGTGGTGGTAGTGGAGGAGGAGGAGGAGGAGGTAATAGTGGTAGTGGTAGTGGTAGTGGTAATAGTGGAGGTGGTAATAGTGGTATATCATCAGGGGCTTCGGGTCCTATTGGTCTTACTGGTGGCATTACACGTTTATTATCTGCTGCCACAGGACGACCATTGGGTTTAACTTCTGATAATGTTGGTGGCGTTCAACGATATCAACATGTCATGAATCGTTCTCAACAAGAAGCTCTTGTAGTGGCAACACTTATGAGTTTAACAAATGGCTTACGTACAGCACATACACTACTGCAACTTTTCACGTACTATACGTATAGTAGTTTTACTCCATTACTTGGTCGAGAAGCCTCACTTACTCGTCTTATCGCAGACGATTCAAAATTACAACTTCTTCGTGTTTATCACATGCTTGCTAAACAAATTGCGGAACATGCTCTTGACAGTGTGGCAAGTGTTGTAAGTCGTTCTACAGTATTACGCCGATTAGCCTCCGCTGAGGCCGCGGCAGCAGCAGCAGCAGCAGCTGTAGTGGAGGATGGGAATAAAAAAAGTGAAACTGCCACTTCTTTTGTTACAGAATTTCTTCTTGAGTATGCCTCTGAAGAAGAAAGAGATAATGATGGAAATGTTATTAACGAAGAACACTTACGACAACAGCAACAAGTTTTATCAGGTGCAAGATCATCCAGTGTGTGTAGTCGTAGTAGTTCTAATTTCCCCAACAATCCGTATCATCGCAGTGGTCTCTCTAAACATCAGGCACAGGCGGCAGATCTCCTTCGAACACTTTACTCAATGGTACTACCGACACCACCAGAGGTAGAAGAATGTCTGCGTGTATTACAGTCTACAATGTTTGAGGCGGAGAAACATGTTGAGATAATGGATTCACTACGTGCGGCACATTTAAAAAGTTCTCCCTCAAGTGATTCTATGACAACAAATCCTTCTGCGTATCATGAACAATTCTTTACCGTACTTGTTCAACATGTATTATCATTTCCAGTTGTACTGGCCCGTCAACCAACTATTAGTGGTACATTAGATGATCCATGCAAACTTGTGTTACAACTTAATACTATGGTGGCTTTGCAAGAAACACTTGCCCCACACTTGCAACTTTTAGCCCTTGGTAATGCAGCAGCTGGTCATACCACACCTCTATCTAATGTTGTTCCTGAACGAATTCATCAATTAACAAAAGAGTTAACGATAAGTCTTTCGCACTGTGCTGTAAAACATTATTTCAAACATAAATCACAGAGTGGTGTAACAGGTAGTAGTGATGAAATGAGTAGTAGTGTTGTTGTTGGGTCAACAGAGGTTGAAAAGAAGAATAGTGTAATGGATATTAATATTGATGATGATGATGTACAATTTGATGCGGCTACTATCACGACTCAACTGAGTGATTTTTATGGTGTTGTGGCAGCGACAGGTCGTGTTTATGTTCCTATCATTGCGGCACTTCGTTCAGCACGTCTGCGGGAGGAAGTAATGCGAGGTGTTTTGAGAGCATTGTGTGATGTGTATGAAGCTCGTTATAAACGGCTTCTCCAACTTCAACAGCAAGAGTCGCATGTAGAACAGTCAGAGGGTACACCCACCTCTTCTTTCACGGTGAATGACCTTGATCCGAAAAAGTTGCGAATCCTTCTGGATGTGGTTCCAGCATCCTCTTCATCTACTTGAGCAAAACAAATTAAGAAACAAAAACAAGAGCGACGAAAGAAGAAGAAAAAGAAGAAAATGAAAAGAGGGTGTTGTTGTTAGTTTTGCGTCATAATGTGGAAGAACCACACTTGGCTTATGGTGTGACACATTTTGCTTTTTTTTTTTTTATAGCTCTGTAAAACAAGTTGTGTACAACATCATTTCTTCGTTTCTGTAGTTGTGCATGTATGAACGTGTACAAATATATATATATATATATATATAACGTTTTGGTATATTGTTTCCTTCATTTTTTTTTCCCCCCACTTCTCATTATTTTTCTCATTATTTTTCTATTCTATCTTCTCATTATTTTTCTCATTATTTTTCTATTCTATTCTTGTATAAAGTACTTGAGGGAAGGGTAGGGGTGAAACATTTGCTGGTTGTGGCAATTGTGTAGGGTAGGTGAACGAAGTGGATTGAAGGAAACATAGCAAGTATGGTATTTTACAGCTTTGTGTTGGTAATGAAGCCTCGTCAGCGACGCCACACGGCCCAGGCGCTGCGTGAGATCGCTGTGGCGGTATACAACAATGGTGGTCTCATACGTAAATTCACAAATGAAGGTGTGATGAGACCGTACAGTCGTTTTCGCGATGCAGACAGCACACCGCTAACTTATGCACGGTATATGACGCTTCAAGTAGATATGGGTGAAGAAGAAATGCGTAAGGTGGAAAAGATTATGCGTGAGCAGCAGGATATGTTTATAACGCTAAAGCTCAATAACTTGGAACGGCCTGTGGGTATTCGTAGCGGTCGGAAGGATCTGCAGACGGCATACTTCCCGCTTGATACATTTACGCGACTTGAAGAGGAGATTAACTGGCCACCACAAACTTCTGTTGACATTTATGAACAGTTGGAAATGAATTGGAAAGAGTTTTCTCGAACTAGGTGGTCAAACTTCCTACGCAGCTAAGTTGAGAGGCGGGGATTGAGGGGAAAAAAGAAACAGACGAATAAGAGAAAAAAAGGTATCGATATCTGCATGTGATTAGGAAAGGAAAAAAAAAAAAAGAATTATGAAAATGAAATTATATGCATTTTTTCTTCCTTCTTCTTCTTGCTTTCCCTTTCCTATGCAACACGTACACTTACATACATACGTACATACATTTTCTCTTTTTCTCCTTATGACATGGTTTTTTTTTTTTTTTTTTTTTTTTTCAACCCCCTTTGGATTTAATGATGATATATTTTTTTTTTTTTCTGATGTATATGTACAATTTCCTTCTTCCACCTCTTTTTTTTTTTTTCGTTTTGCTTCTGTATGCTGTGTTTGACGAGAGTATTCAAAAAAATGCTCGCTACTCCTGCGCCACCGAAACAATTGTCGATGACGCTGACGGACGAGCAACTGGCGTCACTTCTGAGTATTGAAGGAGATGTTCAACTCAAGGCGGCCCAACTCGGTATGCTCTGTAATGAGTATCGCGTAAATTTGGAGCGTGTACTGTACCACTATGAACCTTTAATGGCGCCTTTACGTGCTATTATCTATGCTGGGGGACAAAAGCAGCAGTATATTGAGACACAACTTGTTTGGTTGGAACGTGTTATTGTTCTTCAGGAGCGTCGTGGTGGGACACTAACGGTTCCTCTGCGTGAACTAAAGGCGATTGAGGATGATCTTATGTTGCCTGTGAACAAGGCGTTGCGGGCGAGTTACCAGCAGTTGGATGTTGTCACCCGCGAGGAGCTGGCGGTGCTGCGTGACTACGAGTGTCCCCCACCGGCGGCGTTGGCGACGATGGCGATGGCGCTGCGGGTGCGGGAGGACGAGGACACGGAGTGGTCCACCGTGCGTGTGGTGCTGAGCGAGAGTTATTTCTTCACCTTCTTCATCAGCCGCGCCCAGACGCTCCTGCAGCGGCCGCTCCCGCCCGACGTGGCCGACGCCCTCGAGGGGTACTGCGCGGCCCCCGCACACGCCCCGGCGGCCCTCGCGCGGGTGTCGGTTCCCCTCGCGGCCATCGGCGCGTGGCTCCACGCCGTGCGGGACTATCACCGCGTCCGCCGCCTCTGCGACCCGTCGCTGCCGCCCGTCGCCGTGGAGGAACGCCGCCGCACCGTCGCCCTCCTCCGACACGAATTGCAGGCACTCAAGGAGGACATGCACAGCGCCGCGGAGGAGCTGCAGAAACTCCAGCAGCAAATTACACGAAAGATGTTTGAGGTACGGAGTGAGTATGATGATACCATGTGCACCCTCCATGACGTCTTAGAAAAGAAAACAGAGGACTTCGTCAAGGTACTTGGCGGGGAAGAGTTAGATCCGGAAGAGGAATCTAATAAGGAAGAACAAAATCAGCAAGAACAAAAGGAAGGCGAGGAAGATGGAAATGCACCCGTGCAATCCAAAGAGTCTTTGATTTATATGAATGTACAGGAGAAGGAAAAAGAGGGAGGATCAGGTTAAAACCTGATGAGGAATGCAGAGATATATATACATATATATGTGTGTGTGTGTGAATGTGTGAACTTGGTGAGGTTTCGTTTGTAGAAACGAAAAAAAAAAAAGAAAAAAAAACGAAGATGTATGATCATACAAGTGCAGTTGCAGAGATGAAGATGAAACTGAGTAGAGAGTACACTCTTTCTCGTTAGTTCTTTTATATCTCTATATCTATCTATATCTATATGTTTCTATATACATATGTATCCCTACCTATTTCTACCTCTCTGAGTGTCTCTCTCTTTATATTTCGCACAAACATACACACACACACACACACACACATACAAACTTATTCGCTCAGTTTCTCTCTATCTCACTTACTCACCCTGCAACTGTTTTTTTTTTTTTTCTTTTATTTTATTTTTCGTTACGTGACAAGACTGTAGAAAAGCCATGAAAAGAAAGAGAGGAAGAGAATGCAGAAAAAACACGAACGAAAAAGAAATGAATGGAATATCATATGGAATTGTTGCTTTGATATAGAGTTTTTTTGATGTAATATAAATCATGAATAATCGAATAATTTGTTCTTTTCTGGAAATCTCTTATATTTATCTCTCTCTTTTTTTTTCCGTTTTTGATATTTGAACGAATAAGAACATTGGCACATTGAAGAAAAAAAAAAGGAGAAAAATAAAGTCGGGTACCAATAAACATTTCTTTTTTTTTTCTACCCTTTAAAGAAAAGAAATTAGTCATTATTATTAGTAATAATGTACCATACACTTGAAATATCACAGGGATCAGCAACATACATAGCTGCTGAGGCGTTTGCGGATGGGATTATACGACTAGTTCGTTCACGTCAAATCCATACGGTGGAGTTACTCTCTGCCACAGAGTGTTACTCTCAAGAACACAAAGAAAGTGAACATCTGCAAGTTTCGGAAGTTGAAGTTGAAGCAGCAAGAGGAATAAAAAGAAATTGCTCGTCAGTCTCGGATCCTGCTTTTTTGTTGGTAGAAGCTCGTTTAACAAGTGCACTGAACTGGAAACATGACGCAACAAACAGCAGAAGTGATGAAAAATTCTTGGAGAATAATGGATCTATATTTACGTACCAAATTTATTTTCTTTTACCTAGGAGTACAGCATCATCAGGAACACTAGGGAAGGGCTATACCAATACTTCTTTCCCTTTTTCTTCATCAACGCGCACAGTACTTTCAGCGTGGTGGTGTGCCGATTTACAGCGTCGCTTGGCGATCTGCTCTGCACTCACGGGGTTCCCAACTTGTTTGTTTGTTTCACTTCTGCCGTACGTGCCGCACCTGACATGGGAACGAGGACGTGATGGACTACTCGGTGCGACGCACAGCGCCACGATGATGTCAACTATCACTGAAAAAGAATTGTATGATTATGACTCCCCAGCCGCACATATTCTTCAAGTGGCTTTGTTGCTCAATGCAAACATTCCATTAGGGGCACGTGGCAGACGTAATACAGCCGTCTTGGTCCTACACGCGGTGGAAGGTGATGCCTGTTTTGCCAACTCATCTCTTTCATTTGTACCAAGTGAGCGAAAAAAACATCCACGGGAACTAAAGCAGGATGAAGGGTTACTACCAGAAAATGAGGCATTGCAGAAGCAGCAGCATCAGCAGCATGGGGAGAGTGAAAAGGAATGGAATAAGGAACAACTCTTCTTAACTTTATCTCGTTTTACTGAAAAACATATTATTCCTTTGCTTTTATGGCAGGTTGTGTGGTCAAAGCCGTTAGTTGCTGATGGAGATGATATGGATGTGTGTGGAATACGGAAACAAATGGGGAGTAGTTTCTACTTGGAAGGTACCCTTGACGCACGAAGTGTACAAAGCATTACTGTTATTATCGACGTGCCACTCGCCTTGTGTCGTTATATACTTCTCTCTGATACTTCTTCTGAGTTTGGATTGGAGAATAACATATTACAACGGCTGGCACAGCGTGTGGCTTACACAGTTGAGGGTGCCCTCTCTCGCCTTGCCGCGGAGAATATTGATTGTTTTGTGCGTCGCCCAACTACAGTGCTAAGTGAAGAGGAAATGGATGAAGAAGCAGAGAATGATGAAAATGAGGGAGCTGCAAGAGAAGAAGTATCTATAGAGAAAACAGAGCGACGCTCCTGGTTGTTGTTAGCGCAAAGCATTGCTGATAGCCTTGCCCAAATTCTTCGAACTTCAAAAAACCCGGTTTTCATAGCCGAGGTACATCGATTACTATTGCTACACCAGAAAGAAGAAGTGATGTCCCTTTCAACCTCAAATAATGTGAAGGACGATAATATGGCGGCAACTGCTGCTGGAATCTGCCCTTCCTCTGCGGCCACAACAGCGGCTATGCTCCGCTGGGCTGTTGAGACACGCCTTATGGAGTGTTAAAACTAAAAATGGGTAAACCTGAAAGAAAGGAGCTTATTATTATTATTTATTATTATTTTCTTGTCTTTAGTTTGTTTTAATTTTTGCATGTCTCGTACAGTTCTTTAAAGAATGTGAAAGAATTCTATAACTGGGTGGTATATATTCTTTTTTCTTTTCATTTAGAGTGCGGGGGGTTTCGCAGCTACTACAGAGTGTTTGGGAAATAAAGTGTAGATTTCAGATGCAGAATTCTGTTATCAACATAAATTGAGTAATCGATACCTGTGTGAGGGATGTTTTTTTTTTTTTCTTTCTCCTGTCTGTTCTCCTCTGTGTACCTTTTTTTTTCACCTTTGTTTTTATTCTACAAAAATGTTTCTTTTTCTTTTCTTTTCATTCTCTCTTATGGGGTGTTTTCTTTATTTTTATTTATATAACTGGATAGGTTGGAGTGCGCTTCTACCAGATAGGCACAGAGGTCCATGCACCCACGGGTGGCAAAGCTGTACTTGGAATTTATGATTCTTGCGCCTGCATTAACTTCTGTAGATGGCGTTAAACACGTAGGAACTAAAACAGAAGAAGCCGTAAGAAAAAAACGGATGGGACTTGCTTATTCACTGAGCAGCACTTCTGCATATCGTGCCATGATACAAGAAGGTTTTATGGCAGAGCCGCATGTAACTCCAGGAACACCAGAGTTTGCACGTCGTCTTGCACGTGGTCGATGGGCACTTCGTCAATTGAAAGACTTGATTACTGTACGAAAATATCGCGCTATGCAGAAACGCTATAGTTGGTCAAGTCATAAGAGTCCAGATGAACTAGTTGAAATATTTGGTGAAAACAAGGCTCAGGAGATAATGATTGGCTTTGGTAACAAGGATGTATTTGGATACAATGAAGTTCTTCATTATGACTGTGATTCTCCATCGCAATCCAAAAAAGAATAATTCTCTCTTTACTATATGGGAACAGTGCCAATTCCCTCTTCCTTAGAAAAAGATCAGCGATAACTACAAAAGAACCTTTTTCTCTCTACATATGCAAATAAAAACAGTAGTAATGATGATAATAATAACAATTTATGATTATTATGATTGTTAATATATTTGTCTCTCGTACAAAAAAAAAAAGAAAGAAATGGAATAATAAAACAAGTGTAAAGTACATTTTCAAGGATAGCTTGATTCTTTTGCTATTGTTTCGTGTGTAAGTTTTTTTTTTTTTTTTTTTTTTTTTACACACACACACACGGACGTATTTTCATATTCTTTGCCTATATTTGCTTCCCTCGATAAACCGTCCCTCTTTGTTTTCTCTTGCATTTCAGGGCTTTTACAAGTGCGTTTTGAGGTCTCACTGTTAATAATATATATATATATATATATATTGTTTTTTTTTTCCCCTTCCTTTTCCTCTTTTTGTTTCTTATTATTATTCTTTCTTTACCTATTTTCCCTTGTTGTGTGCAGATCACACCGGAGGAACGCTCCCAGCGAAGCATCGTAGCAGCACGCAACCAAACAAACCCATCCAGTAAAGATGCCACCAAAGAAGGGAGGAAAGGACACAAAGCCCACGGCCAAGAAGGGCAAGATGGAGAATATGAACAAGGGCGCCAAGAAGGCCGCAAAGAAGTGGTCCAAGGGCCGCACTCGCGAGGCACTGCAGAACGCTGTCATGTTCGATAAGGACACCATGGACAAGTTGATGACGGAAGTGCCAAAGTACAAGGTCATCACACCTTCGATTATTAGCGACCGTCTGAAGATCTCCGTTTCCCTCGCCGCGAAGGGACTTCAGCATCTCTGCCGGGCAAAGAAGATCGTGCTTGTCTCCTGCAGCAGCAAGATGCGTGTGTACACCCGTGCGTAAGGTGAAGACATCACGCTGAGCATTGAGAGAATGGGGGATGATTGGGTTAAGTTTCGTCATTCAATTGAATTGAGGGAGAAAGACGTTACCGACAAGAAGAAAATACACATCTTTTACAATTGAATAGAACAAAAACTTCCCATTCATCCTAGTTCACTCCTGTGATGATTTTTTGATATATTTTTATTTATTTCTTTTTTTTTCTTTTTTACATTGTTTAAAAAAAAAAAGAGGCACATCATAACAACTTTCTGTGGAATTACTAATTGTAGATTCCCTTGATTTTCCAACGCTCTGTTATGTGTATTTCCCTTCTCTCTCTCTCTCTCTCACTCATCTCATCTCTCCTCTCCTCTCGCCCTTTTAACGAAAGTGGTCAGAGAAATAGGGGGAAGGAGTGAATGAGTGAGTGAGAGAAGAGAAGAGGGGAATTAATACACTACTAATTATTATTAGTTTTTTTTTTTTTCTTTCTTCTTCCATTTCTTATTGTATTATTGTTTTACATTTGTAAAATTGTATAAAGTTCTTGGAAAGCGTGTGATAGAGTCCATAGATAGATAGCACAAGAGAGAAAACTCTTGAAGCGGACTAGAGGAAACGTGTCATCTTTATCATACGTTATTCTTTACATAAATAACAAACTCATAAATGGAGCGGAATTTTCATAAGGCACCATGTGGAGCATTGCATGCCATTTCGCGTGATCCTATTGGTAGCCACCCAATTGGAGCAATAGAATCAAATCTCTCAATCATATCAGAACGTTCTTCAATACCACCTGCTCTTTCTCCGTTAGCAATAACAACTACTAGAACAGCTACACAAGTTACTAATACCCAGCCAATATCTGTGCATTCTTCAGTGGAAATACCACTGAAGAGTGGAGACCAAAGTCCTCTTCCTCCTTGCAGAGGAGTACCTCCTCCTCGTATATCTCCTATCATTTCAAGTGGCAGTAGAGACATCCGAGGGCGTCGTTACAATACGAATATATTATCCCCAATTTCGGGTAATGCTCCACCTATGTTACCTGTTCCAGTTTATAATCTTCCTATTACACCTGCTCAAAGCGTAACAACAGGTTCTTCTTGTTCTTCTTCAGGGATACTACAGGGTGCCGGTGGTGGACGTCGAATTTTTAAACGTATTGGTATGAATTGTGTATACGACATTTACGGTGATGATTCCATCTCCACGGAAATAGAGAATCCTGTAATATCAGAAGAAACAAATGGTTTGAATAATGCTATCATAAACTCTGGTCTTGTTGGTAGTGTTGATAATAATAGCAACTACAACAGCACCAACAGTAATGGTTATACAGCCTTTGTAAGACCATGGCTTCGTCAGCAGTCTTTACCATCCTGTAGTTTTCCTAACAATGGTTCAAAAGAGTCTATGGGACTCCAGGAAACGCCTTTGCATGACTCTTCTATGGTAAAGAATAAGAGGTCTTCTGGTAAAACTCATAATCTAAATTTTTCCGGTAAACATCGTCGACGACACAATTGTCCATATCACAAAGTAATTAATGAAGGTGACGTGCATGTCACTGAAATGTCACACAAAGATTCTTCGCATTACATTCGATCTTACTCCTTGACTGCCTTGGAGTTTTCCTTGGCGAAGAACATAACATCTAATGAAAACAGTTTTAGTGGAAGTCAAAATCATCCTTCTGAGGGTAAATATCAATCTTCACATCATGATTCTACTTTCAGTATAAATGGGGAAAATCTAATTATTCCACCAACTCCTAAATCCAGCGCAACACTTTCACGTACTTTGTCTAATCTTCGTGCAAAGTCCAGAAGTGGTGTCTCTGAAAAATCTAAAGCACATCGTCTGTTATCACCTCGCAATACAAGGGCGAGAACAAGTGAGAAAAATATGGGATCAGAATCCAAAGATAAGAAACGTCAAAATAGAGGAATAATTCAAGAAATGTGGTGTGACGCAGAGAGTTGCAGTTCTAGAAGCAGCAGTGTAAGCAGTACGAGAAGTTCCTCAAGTGATGATGGTAGTTGTTGCTCTTGTTGTTCATGTCGTCTAGAAATTACTGAAGGTAATGCTTTTGACGCTGATAACCAGTCAAAGCATGGATATCTTACTTCTTCTGATAAGCCACGTGTAGTAGCATACAATAACTTTTTCGATGCAGAGGATATACCTGCGGTTTCAGTCTGTAGTTTCCGAAAGTCATCCACTCTTGAGAAAAACACTGACTTTGGACAGAAATATAGTCTTCATGATACAGTATGAGCATTCATTACAATGAGTTACAGATTTGATATTTCACGATGGATCACTTTTTTTCTTTTTCTTGTTTCCCTTCCATTTTTTTTTTTCCTTTTCTTTTCTTATTATGTGCCTCTCTCATACCCATTGTTATTAATGAGTTCTTCATAACTATTTACAATGTTTGTCGATAGCCCCTTTTTTTTTATATATATATATGCAATCTCCCAAATAATTGTGTACACAGTAGCGCACGTCAAATCTTGTTTACCTTGATTTTATTTTTATTTATTTTTCTCATGTCAACGTGTATTATCATCGTGGTGATTTTTATGGGTTTTATATGTATTGTAGTAGGAGAAGGAATAGAAGAATGAATGAAAAAAAGAAAGAAATTAATTCTTTTTTTTTGTGTTAGTATTTTTTTTTTTTTTGTCTTGATGTTGTGTGTTTTTTGGATTTATATATTTGTGTCTGCCTGTGCATATGTGTTTTGTCTGTTTGAAAGTTTATTAGAGGATGAAGGTATTCCACTTGATGCCCTTTTTGTTTCTTCGACACGATTCAGAGTTGGATAAAAAGGCAAAGAAAACAGAAGAGAGAAGAAAAGAAAAGAAAAAAAGAATCACGGGGATGTTCAGAGAAAGAAAAAGTGGATGTAGAATTAGTCTCCACTGTTTCCCGTCTCTTTTTCACTTCGTGTTTTTTTCCGTCTCTTTTTTTTTTGGTGTAAGAGAGGTTTATGGATTATGCAGCTACTAATTGTCTTTTTTTTATTATTTCTTTCGTTCTTTCTTTCTCTTCAAGTGTGTTTATGTTGAAGCAGCGGAGAGACTTGTGTGCTTTTGGTTTTTTTATTTTAACCCATAAGGAGGGAAATCTCTGCATTCTTAAATTTTCCTTTCCATGGGCTTTCCTTCAATCATAGTTTTTTTTTTTTTTGTGTGTGTGTGTGTGGTGTCTTTATGTGTGTTTGCTTTTTCTCTCATGTGTCCCTCACAATATATATGGATGTATAACCTTATATGACTTCGTTTAGAAGTTCTTCTTAGTGTTTCAACCCTGTCAAATCTTTTTTTTTTCTTTTGGTAAGTTGCCAATCAATTATCAGTTGAGAAATTCCTGATTCCATCAGGAACTCTCGTACAAAGAGTGAACTTCTTCCTTGTTGTTACAATTTCTTCTTTTTCTTCTTCATCTTTTTTTCTTTTTCTTCATTTACACATAAATGCTTTCTTAGAACCGCGGCACGCGTAAGACCAGCGGTGGACAACGTGAACAAGGAAGCCTGTATAACGGCGCCTGATTGATACTCTCCCCCTCCCAACAACAACAACAACAAAAAAAAAAAGAAAAATAGTAGTGACGTTTGACTGGTATCTCTCCTTTTTGTCCTTCTCTTTTTCTGAGTGATTGTGCTCCTTTCTGATGATGTCCACTGGTCGCAGTAAAGACAGCGCCGTCCTTACCACCGCAGCGGAGCCCTTCCGGCCGTCGCTTGAGTTGACGTTCCGCGGACACCGGGGCGCCGTGCAGGCGGCGGGAATTCTGCCGATGTCGTCGCCGATCACCGCCGCCGCCAAAGACGGACCGCCGCCGTTTGTGTACTCCGCCGGGACGGACGGCGTCGTTTTTGTGTGGAGCGCACGGCCGACGGTGCGGGCGCAGCGGCTGGTGGGGCACCGCGGGCCCGTCCACGACGCCGCCGCCCTCCCGCCCACCGGTCTTCTCGCGTCGGCCGGCCACGACGGGTTTGTGCGGCTCTGGCGGCCGGCGCGGACGGGCCCCGGCGGCGGTGAAGGATGTGCCTGCTGGCGGGCCCACCCCGGCCCCGTCCGCGCCCTCGCCGCCGCCCCGCATGACGGGCATCTCTACACGGCGGGAGACGACAAGTCCGTCAAGTGCTGGGATCTCAACTACGCCACCAGTACACCATCCTCAACATCCATACACAATAGGGGAGCGGTGACGGGGAATAAGTTTGTATGCGGCTTTACCGGCGGTCACCAGAACTGGGTACGTACAGTCGCCGTTTCAAACGGCAGTAACAGCAGCTCAGGTGGCGATAATATGCTAGCCACAAGAGTCGACTTGGTCGCAAGCGGCGGAGATGATCGTACTGTACAGGTTTGGGATCCAAGATCACGTCGACCAACTCATACCTTCTATGAACACACAAATTCAGTTCGATCTGTTGATTTTCATCCTGATGGCTGTTCACTTGCTACAGGTTCAGCTGATCATACAATTAATCTATTTGATCTACGACGAAATGGATTATTACAACACTATGATGCACATGATGATACTGTAAATGAAGTACGTTTCGCACCAACAGGGAGTTGGCTCCTCTCAGCTTCTTCAGATGGCACAGTGAAGTTATGGGACTTGAAAGAAGGTTACCTTTACTGTACCCTTAATGCACATGGGGGTCCTGTGTACACTGCGCGCTTTTCTGAAAACGGAAAATTCTTCACAACGGTGGGACATGACGGTATTATTATGCTTTGGCGTTCAGGACTTCCACGTTTACAGCAACCATCATATACTATGTATCCGAATCTGTATTCGTATAACACCAACAGTTTACAATCTCAACCGTTGAATTCGGGTTCGAGTTCTGCTGCTGCTGTTGCTCTTGCTACCGCTGCAGGAGTATCATCCCGACCTCCACGAACGCTATCAGCTCCGCAACAAGCAAGGAAAGAAATTACATCTTCCTATAGTACCTCAGTTTTTCCATTAGGTGTTGGTAAAGGACGTGATGAAGGAAAAGATATTCAAATTGCTGGTGGGAATAATAATAATGATAATAATAATAATCCTTACTGCTCAATAGATACATCATTAAATCAAAATTCCAAAGTTCCCCAGGAATTACAAAGTCAAGGTGAGAAAAATGTGGAGCAAAAACGACAGAAACCGGCTCCCACGTCAACGACTTCTTCACAATTATCGTTCTCGTTACAGAAACCCCCTCTTGCTCAACCATCCTCACGTGTTGTATCTGCTGCTAATGCTGTTGCTGCTACTGTTGATAATGGTAATAGAGCAGCGATGGCGTCGTTTTCTCTACCAGAAAATGTTGACGAAGTGGAAGAGGGTGATGGAGATGGTATGTCTCGCGAGACACCGCGTGTTGCAAACAGCAACAACAACAATGAAAAGAAATCTATAAAACCGGAACCATTCGTTAGAGAAGAGAACGAACTTCGCTATCCATTTTTTAAAAAACAAGAGAGATTAGAGGATGAAGAAGAAGAAGATATAGAAGATGAAAATAGAGAAAAAATGTGTAAACAAGGACATGAATTAAAAGAGGGTATTCCCCAGCAGTCATATGAAGCTGGTGTAGCTTATATAGATCCAATAAAATTGCATGACAATGATGAAACAGGAAAAGCAGGTGATATGGATGATGAAATAAGCGTTGTTGAATATGTAGCTAAGGCCTACGGTGTAGGAGAGGAAGAGGGAGGGTACGAGTCAGCTGTTTCTGCACCACCAGTTCATCATTTTCCTCTTTCTACGAAAGAAAAAAAAAGAGAACACCAACAACGGTGTCAACGACAACAAGAAGTAGAAGAAAAGAAAGGACAGTTGCAACATCTTCAAGGCACCGACGATAGATTGAGTCGTCTCGAGGAGGCCTACATGCAGCTTACTGCTGAAGTTCAATTAGCTAATGAGCGGAGTGTTGAAGTTATGCAGCAACTACATGAAAGATGGGAAACGCAGCAGCAACAGCAGCGAAGCGAAATTGAACGGCTTCAACAAGTGATAGAAAGCCTTGTCATACAACAAAATGCTTTACTACAAGCTTTTCGTGGAGGCTAAAAGAACAAATATAAGAAAAATAGAAAAAAAAAGAAAAAGAGGATGGGCTAAGAAATAATGCGTCCTTTTTGTGATCCTCTGCTTGTTTTTTGGTACAACATCCTGTATCGTATGACGTGTACGTAGACATTTATATATATATATATATATATATATATATATATATATATNTATATATATATATATATATATATATATAAAATTGTTGTGGCTTCTTTTTTTTTTAATTTAGAGGGGGAGGGGTTATTCTTGGTTTCCTTCTATCTATCTATCTGTTGATCGATTTACTTTTCTAATAAATTCTACTCTTTTCTTTCTATTTGATTTTTGATTTCATACAAATATACACAAGCACTCAAGCAAAGTACTTTTGTTTTCTCAATATTTTATTCCTCCTTTTTACGGGTCACCCCAGAGTCAAAGGCATAAGTTTAGCATAAGAAAAAAGAAAAACAAACAAAAGTTGAAAAAGGGTGGATAAGGAAAGAGTGAGGGGGTACACACCAACTTGGGGGAAACAAAAGGGAAAAGTATATTCCTTGAGTAGGGATTTTGTTTTCTTTTGCTTTTATTCTTGCTTTCCCACTTTTTTTTTTTTGCGTACGCATACACACAGCGAAAAAAAAAAAATATTTACAGGGAGAGAAGAAAAAAAAAGGAAATAGAAAGAAAAAAAAAAAAAACAGAGAAAACAATACCGAAGGAAAAAAGTAGTCAGGAACGGAAGGAATAGCAGGATAGTACCCAAACACATCAACGAATAATACAAAAAAAAATATATATATACTAAGAGCAAGATAAACAGGATTAAGGAAAACTGAGTTGTACGAGGAAAGAAAGAAAAGAAAAAAAAAGAAAGAAATGGATCGTGGGCTCTTTAGACGTGCTATCGCTGACAATGAGGAGCCAACTTCAGGGTTTATGTACCGTGAAATGGCGCAGTGGACCTTTAAAGATTACAATACGCAGATGAAATTTATAGATGCCCTTCTTGAAAAATTAAAGCCAAATTCTGGTGTTCATGTATTGTACAAAATTTTGCGTATCATAAAGGTAATGTGCGAAACAGGTCATAGTGATTTTCAAAAGGAAATGCAAAAAAATAGTCGTACCGAGGAAATAAAAGCATTTACTATGTACCGTGGTAAACCAGACGCAAACCATGGTGATAGTCTGAATGAGAAGGTTCGACTCGCAGCTCGAGATGCAATGGAAGCTGTGTTTTCACATCATAATGAAAGACGGTTGTCACTTGCAACTATGGGATACGGAAATAATGAGAGTCAAAATAACAGCTACAGTGGTGTGAGTGGTGGTGGAGTTTTAGCGCAACCAACTTTTACTACTGGTCATACTGTTACAGGAGCATTATTGGAGGGACCAATGAGTGTACATAGTAACCGAATAGCTCCAATGCCCACTACAAACAAATGGGCTGAACATGTTGCACAGCAAGCTTCTGCTGCGAATACGAGCATAACAAGTCGTATGATGTCAGCTTTAACAGAAAAAGCAAAAACGGGGTTTGGAATTCTTGGTAATTCAAATGTTATTGGACAATACAAGAGTGCAAAGGATGAACTCTACGAAAATGCTCTTAGATTGGGTACTACTGGTATGAATACAGGATCTTTATCCTCTGTTGATACGGGAAGCTTTAAACCTCCTGAATTAAAGGAAGTTGAACCTTATTCTTCAGGTGTTGAAGGAAGCAGTAGTGGGTGGAAGTTTATTGAAGACTCTGCAAGAGGAGGAGGAGGAGGGGGTTCATCTTCACATGAGACAAAAAGTAGTTTCACTTTTCAACAACAAGAACGGGAGCGAGTAACACCTTTTCAAGCCTCTGTTCAACGAATTTGTCAAATGAAGAGTACCCCACAGCGAGTGGAATTACATACTTTTCTCTCTCAGTGTATCTTGATTGGTGAAGAGATGATGCGGCAACGAGTTGATGCTGTTGTCGATGGCAGTGAGCAGCAGGAATGTTGGGAGGAACTCGCTGAGGCACTAGACACGCAGTTGACACAACAACACCCGTGGCAACGCCGTCTGAATGCATTAGTGGCAATAGAAGCACTTATTCTTCCACGCAACGGTGATGCACATTGGGATGAGACGATCGCAACAATGATGCGGCAATCTGTGGTGCGCTATTTCTTGGAGAACCCAGAGGATGTACAACGTAACGTCTCTGTTGTGCAGGCAACACTGCGTGAACGTGCACAACGAGTACTTAAGTTGCTAGGTTTACCAGAGAGTGATGCTAACAACACTATGACAGTAGATAGTGATCATGCCGGTGCTGTTGGAACTGCCGGGCAGACATTCACATGGTCAACACCCACAAATAATTCCACTGCATTAGGAATGAGAGAAGGAGGAGTGAGTGGGAGTACTGCAGAGAGAGATACAACGGTGGACATGAGCGGTATGGCTTTTCGTGCGGCTCATCGTGGCATAAAGGACAAGACAACACTGAAAAAACGTGCCCCAATGCATTTTGTTGACGATGGTGTAGTGAATACAACTTGTGTGAATAATAGTTATACTAATAATAATAATCATAATCATAATAATATCAATTGCGGAAATGGTAGCAATCCAAATAAAATGAACAATACTAGTGGTACTGGTAACATTGCCCTTAATAACGCTATTATAGGGAATATGAATAGTAATAACATGAATAACAACTACCACAAATCTGCTGGTGGTAATGATGTGCTTGATGAACTCTTCGGCTCCCCAGCTACAACAACAACAACAACAACAACAACAACAACAAGAACAGCACCAATAACATCTGTAAATGATGGTTCAACACCTTTTGACTTCCTTAAGGTAACCGGTGTAGAAGCTTCTACCCCATTTGTAGTTTCACCATCATTACCATCTTCTATGGGAGGTTCACTACCCTCAACAGATGTAAATGTCAGAAATATTATTGATGATAATAACAAGAATGAAAATGCCATCCTATCTGGAAATGGTTTTAATACATTTCCTATACCGACATCATCATTACCTAATACTACTACTACTACTAGTACTAGTACTGCTCCTACCTTTGCGGGGCCTTCATCAGCGATGCTTCTACAAATGCAACAACAGCTTCAAGTACTTATGAACAACCTGCAAAACAATCAGAGTCCTGATGCACTAGCGCAAATTCAATCTCTTGTTGAAAAACAGCAGAATTTAATGACTCTTATTTCTCAACAACAACAACAACAACAACATGCATTGTGGGATACTTCATCCTATAATAGTGTATCCGGTTCTGGAGGAAGTGCACTACCCGTTCACAACCACTTTTCTATGGGCGTAGTACACTCGTCGAGCTCAACTTCTTCCTCTTCATTCCCTACGAAACCTTCAAATTCTTTAGCGGACGTACAGCGGGAGATGATGTCCCATATGGCAACGTTCAAACAAGGTCAATAAAGTAGTAGGAGGAAAGGAAACATGCGAAATAAACTACCAACAAAATATATATATATATATATATATATTATTGAAAAGGGAAGAGGAAAGTGTTATAATTAATTGATATGTACGTCTTATTCCCTTTCTTTAAGGTATTGATATTAATATAATTATCCACGCCTGTTACTTTTTCGTCTTTATTTGTAGTACATACATTCCATCACGATTCTTTCATCATTGTTATTATTATTATTATTATTATTATTATTATTATTATTATTATTATTATCGCAGACGCATCTAACGATGCTGTGAGTGAGTGCGTAAGTTAGTTCTTTGTACTGTCAGGAGAAAGAATACACTGGGCACACAAACACATGTGTATACACTTAAACACAGAACTGAATATTCTTTCTTTGTTTTTGTGTATTTCTTGATCCTTTTTTTTGCTCTTTTGTTTATTTTTCTTTTTATCGATATATATATATATATATATATATATATATATTATATACTTCTTGCTCTCCTTTTTCGCTTATGTGCACGTCCGTGTAAATATTTGTAGGTGTGTCTTTTCTCGTTCTTATGGGCTCAGTTTAAGTATAAATCAAGGCAGGTGTTTGCTTTGTTGTGGCAGTTACAGGAGAGATCATTCCTCTCTCTCTTCTCTGCATTGCGGTGTGAGTATGTAAGTGTTGTATTTCTGACACTGGTCATGTATTATTTGCCATGGTTCGAAAAGAGAATACAATGGAGAAAAAAAAAAACAAAAAAAAAACAGTTCTGGTATACCTCAAACAAAGGTTAAAAGACCAAAAAGAACGGCACACATACACACACGAAAAAAGAATAAGCGACAAGGTGCCATGTCATACCTTGCAGTAGTAGAGCGTGGTGTAAGTTTCAGAGAAATTGCGGAAATAAATTTTGCTTTTATTAACTATATATATATATATGTGTGTACAATTGTTTGTTTACTGGATTGTTTTTTTTTTTTTTTTATTATTCCTTGTGTTCCACCACGTTGTGGACCACTATTATTATTATTATTATTATTACTCTTTTTTTTCCTCTCTTTCTCTTATTTCTGTTGTTTCCACACATGGAGTGAGACTGGTGAAAACACCTATACACGTGCTTGTGTATACTTAGAAGAGAGTAGATCGTAGGAACCAGCCATACGAGAGACCGGCTGTGTATCCCCCACTACCTTCATCGTATTTAGGAGCGCGTCTATAGATTAGAGACGCGGTGAAAAATAAGCAAATAAAAAAGTAGAAACAAACAATCAAAGAACAGAAAAAAAAAAAAAGACACTCCTTCTCCTTCCCCTTTTTCTTCTTTCCCTTCTCTCATGGCGGGTGTACCTCCGCCGCCGTACCCCCTCGAGCCGACGATCGCCGGCACTCCCGCCGCCCCCGCCGCCCCCACCGGCCGTCTTCGACTCCCCCCACCGCTGCCGCCGGTCCGCGGCGCTCCGACGGCCCCCACGCCGGGGCTCCTCCCGACGCCCAACCGCCCGCCGATGGGTCGACTCGCCCCGCTGCAGCGTTCGAGCGACACATCCGACGGGCAAGACGCCCCCAAACGATCCCCGTCCCCGCGCATGGCCGCAAACGGCATGACACCGCAATCAGTCGATCAGGGCTCCGTGCTCGCTAGTGCAAACGAGAACGCCAGCGTCTTTGAGAGTAACGGTGACGGTCCAACACCAGCAAGGCAACGTCAACAACAACAACAGCAGGGGGTAAAGAAATCGGTAGAACGGCTAGGTACCCCATCAGGGAAGACGCGCAAGCTTATAACCCCAGTTGTGGGAAGTCATCGTGATGCAGAGTTTCGAGATCCAGATTTAGATGATCAAAATGTGGAGCAACTCTGTCCTTTACAGGTACAAACACGTCCTGTGGAACGTTTTTTTGTAGAATATAAACCGAAAGAAGGAGATAATGATAAGAGGAATAATATTGAAATGGATGAAAATGATATTCTTTTCGATCGTTTAGCAGAATACACCGATGATGATTCTTTCTTCTCATCTGGTTCTTCAGTACTTGAACAAGATCCACGCCGATTGCAAAAGGATCCACTTCGTGGTCCTGCAGTTCGTTCTGTGTATGATACACTTAACTTACGCTCTTTAACCTCTGGAAGAATGCCTCAAGTTATAGAAGATGAGGAAATAGATAATGCAGGTTGGATGTATCAAGTTCATCAACGCGCTATTGCGTTGCATCACTCCTCTTTTTTTATATTTCCACCATGTATGACAGCACGTGTTGTGGTATATAATGTAATGCATCATTGGTTAACGGAACTTTTGCTTATTTTTATAATTCTTGGATATTCAATTTTTACAGCATCATGGGCAAGATATCAAGATCCAGAATTAGAGAAACCTGATTTTATGATTTTTGCAGATGTCTTTTACACTGTTATTTATGGTATTGAACTTGTAATGCGTCTTTTTGCCTCAGGATTTATTCTTCATCAACGTGCATTCTTTCGTTCACCATGGCATTGGCTTGATACTGCTGTATTTGTTCTTATGGTGATGAATTGTACAGGATGGAAATATTTATGGAATTTTACAGCGTTTCGTCTTATTAGAGTAATTAAAGCGTGTACATATATTCCTATGCCTGTGCGAATGAAGTTACTTGCCAAATCACTCTTACGTTCCACAAATAAATTAATTCAAGTTTCTCTTATTCTCATATATGCATTGTTTTTCTTTGCATTAATTGGTTTACAATTATTTCGTGGGGCATTACATCATCGTTGTGTAAATTCAGTAACTGGTGGAATTACAAACCAAATCTGTCATCCAGGAACTGGAGAAAGTCATTGGTTTTATTGGGGACATGTTTGTCAAGCAGGATATACATGCGTGGAAGATGTTGCTCCGAATCCCCATTACGATTTTCAAAACTTTGATAATGTGGGACATGCATTACTATCAACGTTTCAAATTATGACTTTTCAAGGATGGACTGGTCTTCTTCAAGAGACAAATGATGCTGTTACAGTATTGGTAATACTCTATTATGCCTTTACGATACTGTTTTGTGCATGGTTTATCCCTAGTCTTTACGTTGGTGTTTTTATTGAGAAAATTGAAAAGACCAGTCGACTCTTTATACAAAAACAATTACAACTTTTTGATAGTATGCTTCAAGAGCAACGACAACGTCTAAATGCAGGAATAAAATTACGTGACTTTGTAGAACGTGACGAAAATGGAAATTTACGACATAACCCATTAGATATTAATCGTAATGACAAAACCAATTCACTTCAGAGAATTAATTCAGATCGTGGTAATAGTGATTCTGGTGAGAAAGGATCCATGCGTTCTGTAAGTACGGATCGGGATACTCCAAGTTCTAGTAACTATGGTAGTTCTGTGATGAAACGAACCAAATGGACAGATGAACAACGTGTACAACTTCATCTTTCTCTTACACGTCAACGTGAACTTGCCGAACAATCTGAGCGAAAAAGACGTGCGATTTTTAAAGTTAACAAGAATTTTTCCAATAGTTCAAATCCTTTAGGTGGTAATAAAGTAACTTCTCAACATGTGACTGTAACTGGAGCAGGAGGAGGTGACTTTGAACTTGGTGGACGTGTTGGAACTGTGCAGCATCACCCACTTACATACACCATTGGTGCCGCTCATGGCACAAGTGCACCTCTTGCGGTCCGTCTTGAAAATGAACAAGAACGTTTAAGGTTCTTAAAGTATTATCAAGATCTTGCAGAAGGTGAAATTGCAAATATTACAAACACTGATGGATATAATACACGACCAAACTTGATTGAAAACGGTAATGTCAATGGTAGTGTTTCACGTCCACCATTGGGAAATTCAGCACGTCATGGTATATCTCATGCAGAAGAAGTTCCAGGTGGTATTCTCGCTACACGAGAATCTGCTGGTGTTATTCCAACCCGTCGTTCAGCACAACGTCCAATCAGTGCAGGTGCTGGATCTACCGCCGCTCGTGAGAGTAATACACCATCGGCAATGCACAACTCCGTGGTGGTTGCACCTCAACAAGAAGTACTTATTAATGATCCTGAAGGAGGAGATTTTAGGTATGCCAGAACATTTGCTCAACGGTGGTTGATTATACGAAATATTTTACATATGTTTACTGAAGGTTACCCACTTATTCTTGCACAATATTTGTGGGAACATAAACGTATGCAAAGACGTTTTGGTTTAACTCCACTAAATTATGTAAATAAATATGAAGAAGCAGCATTGCGTAAATTGCGACAACGACGCACACGTAAATCACGTAATATTCGTCGAAGTGAAGAAAGTGATGAATTTGATGATGACAATTTTAGCGAAACTGAAGCTATACCAAATACTAAAAAGGATGATACTGAACCAAGTGATCTTTCTCCTATACGTATGGCAAAAAATATTGTTGAAAATGCTCCTATTACATTATTTACTGGTATAATGCTTTTCTTCGTATTTGCTAATGGAGTATTTAACGCATCTCGACATTATGGACAACCTGATTACTGGTATGATGGTCTTTTTTATGCAGGTGTCTGTTTTAACGCTTTATTTTTTCTCGAACTTGTCATTCGTTTCATCGCAGTAGGACCTGGTCCTTTTATATGGGATTTTTTTAACGTCCTCTCTCTCATCGTTATTATTATTGGATTTTTTGAGTTGGGTTTTGGTAGATCAAATACTATTACATTACTCAATTGGGTAAGATTTTTACGAGTATTCCGTGTAGCACCATTTACACCAATGCGTCGAGTTTCAAGAGTGTTACTTCTAGGATTTCAAGATATTGTATATGCCTTGGTTTTCTTTTCAGTTTATATGTTTATGTGGATTCTTATTGGTATGAGTTTCTTTGGAGGACGTATAGATAAACTTGATCGAACGAATGATGACTACAGTACACGTGGAAATTTTGATACATTTTCTCAGGCTACATTTGCTGTTTCTCAGGGATTTTCTTATGTCCGTGATGAATGGTTATATATGTCATGGGATGGAATGCGAGCACGTGGTGGATATACCATTATGTATTTCCTTGCTGTAGTTGGAGTGGCTTTCATATTCCGTTATCTATTTATTTCTGTTTTTACATGGGCATGGCAATGTGAAGAAGAACGTGATGATTATGTTCAACTTACAACAGGACGTGGAAGAAGAGGTGGTCCACAGTTACGTTGGTTTGATTTTACAGTTTGGCGCTCTTTTAAACATATTCATGGTGGATTTGAACGTCGAGATGTGGCACCAGATGAGGTATTTCACTTAAATCAAGATATGCGACGTCAACTTCGTATTGCAGAAGCGAAAGAACGTTTTTCTCGACGAGCTATTTTATCACGTGGACCATCTGTAGATCAACGACAACTTTCTGTAAGCAGTGTTAATGCAACTCCAGCTCTTAACAATTATAAAATGTCTACAGGTCCTCCACAACCATCAGTAGTTTTGGTTCCACGATTTGTAAATGTTGGAGGACAAATTCAAAGACAAATGAGTATGCCAATTGAATTTGATGAATCTGAACGACCTCCTATAAACGCACCTATATCTCAATTTCAAGCTGAAAATGCCCAATTACGCTTTGCACGACGTTATAGTGCTGTTCCTGCAAATGTGAATATTCAAGCATCTTATGATGATCGTACAGGTTCACAAACACCACCTCGTATGCAATCACCTTCTTATATGGCATCACATGAAGATACTGTTTCTGCTGTTGACACAGATGCTCAATTGGATGACTTTCAACAGTTTGGTACTGCAGGACGATATTCAAGTTCAGCTAGAGCACGTGGAAGTTCCAGTAATACTCAATTACAACGTCGTCCTAGTGTGACGGGTCACTTTACTACTTTGGGTTATGAACGTCCGTCCATAAAGAAAGAAGGAGGTACAAAAGAAAATGGTCATAAACCAGGAGAAAAGGTAGAAGAAGAACATTATGAAAGTGATATCACTGGAGGTGAAATGGTTTATGAACATATACTTCTTCCTGGACCTCGTTTACGTTATAAACACGTAATGGTAGGCCGTCAACGTCGTGTTTTTGAACGTTGTCTTGATTGTAATACACATAAACAAATGCCATTACGTGCTCCACCAAATGTATTACAACGTACTGCGGATGAATTACATGCAGAACACTGTCATATGGCTGCTGTACGTAGTTCTCGACAATTGGTTCTAAACGCTATATTGGGATATGTACGTTTACAGAAAGAATTGGGTGGTCCTCCTACACGAGAAACCGTTGAAACAGTACTTGGACAAGCATGGAGTTGTGGTATGTTACTTTTTGAAACTATTGAATATCTTTCCTGTGCAGATATAGAATTAAGAGAATTTCGAACATGGGATAGGACATTAGAAGCTTTACAATTACAACAATGGCTTATTGGTTTACATGTGGGAGAAGAACAAGTGGGTCGTGCAACTCTTGCATATATTCTTGCACATAAAGAAACACAAGAACGTGCCGTTTCAAATAAATATTTTCAACGTTCATGGCGTAACAGATCATTTTTTGTTCTTTCTCCCAGTAATCCATTTCGTCAATTTGTTACAAAAGTGGTACAGTCTGCATGGTTTGAATGGTTTATTTTGGCTGTCATATTTGCTGCATCTATTTGTCTCTGCTTCTATAATCCACAATTGACGAATTTCTTGGGTGGTAAATATACTGCATTACATGTATTGGATGATATTTTTGCCATCATATTTGCAGTGGAAATGGTACTAAAATGGATTAGTATGGGTGTTGTTCTTGATTTACATGTTGCCTATTTCTGGCATCGATGGAATATCTTTGATTGTTTTATCACCATTGTTTCACTCTTAGCTATTGCACCTGCTTATGATCATTTCCGATATTTAAAAGTTATGCGATGTTTCCGTATTCTTGGACCTCTTAGACACTGTACATTTAATAAAGAACTTTCAAAACTTGCCGTAACAATGTGGGATTGTATACCAACATTAGCAAATGTACTTTTATTGTGTCTTCTTAACTATATAGTATGGTGTATTATTGCAGTTCGACTCTTTATGGATCAAACACATAGTTGCAGTAATGAAACTATTATCAATGGTACTCTTTGTGTAGAAGAAGGAGGATCATGGGATGCACCACAGCGTAATTTTGATAATTTTTATGAGAGTTTATTAACCATGTTTGAGGTAAGTACAGGATCTAAATGGTTAGACGTTATTTACACTGGAGTAGATGCTTGGTCAGAAAATTTTGCACCTATTGCAAATCGTCATCCTGCTAAAGGTCTATTCTTTATTGCCTACTATTATGTTTCAAATCTTGTACTCTTTTCACTATTTGTTGCATCTATGATTTATTGTTATTTGTTGACAAAGAATGCAGCAGAAGGAGCTATGGGTATTACATTTGAACATCAATTATGGATTCGAATGCAACGTATGATATTACGACTTAAACCACGTGTACAACTTGTACCACTTGGTAATATTATATCACGTTTCCTTCATCGTGTTGTAACCCATGTTGTGTTTGAAGTAGTAATGGCATGTATACTTTTCTTTAATCTTATTACCATGTCACTTTACTGGTATGGTAATAGTTCAAAACAAGAGGATGCTTTGGATGCTCTTCAATATGTATGGGTTGCTTTCTTTACAGTAGAATTGATTTTAAGATTAGCAGCACATGGTATACGAGCATTTTCACGTTGGTCTTTCTGTTTTGATTTATTTGTAACATGTCTTTCATATGTTCAAATTGGTGTAAACACTACTGATAACCACAAGGTACCATTCAATGTTAACGTTCTTCGTCTACTCAATTTGGGTCGTTTATTAAAACTTGTAGATGTTTTTGTACCTGTAAAAAATAATTTGCGTTTATTATATCAGGTTCTAATTCTATCTGCATCAGCTCTTGTAAATGTAACATTAATTTTACTTCTCGCGGTATTTGTTTTTACAATACTTGGTATGCATTTTATTGGACGTGTGCATCCTGTGGTCAATGGTTACATTGACGATACATACAATAATTTCATGACTTTTCCTAATGCACTTATCATGACCTTTCGTCTGACTACACTTGAAAACTGGGTTTCCATGCTACGCTCAAGTGTAGCGGATGGTACTATTTGTGAACTGGACGATTGCCGAACATCCAATTGGGCGCCTGTTTATTATGTCCCTATTGTCATTTGTTTTGCTCTCATGATTGTTACTCTCTACATTGCGGTGGTAGTGGATCACTACGTCACGGTGGTGCGAATGCACGCGAGTGTCTCCCGCATTCAAGACCTCCGCCGCTTCCGGGCGTTGTGGTCGGCGCGGGACCCGAACGCCAAACTCGTCCTGCGCACCCGACAACTCCCCGAACTGCTCGAGGCGCTGCGGCCGCCACTCGGCCTCAGTTCGCGTCACAACCGCGTGGAACTGCTGCGCTTACTGCGGGAGTACGACATCCCCGACCACGGCGGACGGGTGCACTACGATGAGGTGCTGGTCCCACTCGCCCGCCGCGTGCTCGCCATGGCGTTTAGTGAAGATGAGGTGGATGACGGGGCAACATTTGAGGCTCTCTGGCGTTTATCAGAGAGTTCCCTCCGGGCGCTGCCAACTGTTTTGGGTAATCGCAGCGACGCCACTACTGCACAGTACTTTGCAGTGAGTTATGTACAGGCCGCCTATAGACGTAGGAAAGCCTGTCGCCAGATGCAACAAGCACGGGCCGATCTATGGCGTAAGGGCCGTAATGTGTGTGATGAACTCGGTTTACCATACAAGGATTATGGATTTGGAAAAACATCACTTTTCGTGGATGAGAAACAGAAATCAAAGTCTGCTTCTCCCTCTACTGGTTATAAAGATGATGTGGATAAGGAGGATTCAACACCTGCTCCTCGGGCCTCATCTCCCATGACACCCAGTGAAAATAATAGCAGTACACCTCCTGCTGCTCGACTTCCTGGAGTGTATCAACCCGCTATTGATGAAAAGGAAAGACGATTTGGACCAGATGTACCAAATGCGGTTAGGCGTCACGAAACACGTTCAGAAAAACTTCGTCGCAAAGAGGAAGAACGTCAGCAACAGCAGCAAATGCAACAGCCACAGGGAGATAACACCCCAACGGCACACTCCGCTCCTCGTTCCTCTTCACTGCGCCTACACAGCACCGAATACCAACCGCCGCTAGGTACAGATCCGAGTAGTTGGCTTAATAGCGAAATGAGTCGCCACATGAGCGGATCAGGATCCCCCGCTAACACGTCATCTAATGCCGCTAATGTGTTGCCTAACCCACAGGGAACGCCACCACCAGAATAGTGGCAAATTATAGTATATGCAAAGCAAAAAAAAAAAACATTAGAAAGTGGAAGAGGAAAAAAAGAAAGGTACAAAAGCGGAGTTATCAATTGGAGAGCTACATGTTTGGTGAAGAGAGAGAGAGAGAGAAGGGGAGAGAAGGAAAGATATAGTTGAAATAAATGACTTAAAAGGATTTAATTTTGTGTAGTGATGCCGTAGAAAAGAATGTAAGGGGTAGACATATTCTCTATTTCTTACCTCAGATACTTTTTTTTTTTGTTTTATTTCCTGGTCATTTTTTTTTTTTTTTTCGTTTTTTACTTTCGAATTGTAGATGTGAGCATATATATATATAAATATAAATATATATGCGCTTCTGGATGTATGGGTGTGTGTGTGTCTCCCCGCTTGTATCTCTTTTTGATTTATTTTTGCAACATAGTCATTCGTTGTCTGCAGTTGTCTATCCAAGTGTAACGGGTTTGTTAATGTGAAAAACGGTGTGACAGTAGAAAAAAAAATATATATATATATATGTTTGATGTAAGACGGAAACCGGTAGGGATTCCGATTTTTGCAGGCTTGGGTATTAGGTCGTAAAGGACACGAAAAAGAAAAAAAAGATATAGAGAAGAAAGAAGAAAACAGAAACCACAGTCCACTGTGATAGTTAGAACATTACCATTGTACATATGCAAAGAATTAAAGACAATCATTTGATACTACCCAGTAGTAGTACAAGTAAAAGTAGAAAGAGAGAGAAAAAAGGGTGTGGAAAAAAAAAAAAGAGGGCGAACGCACACCATAAAGTATTGGGAAAAATACTTGACAGCCACAAGAAACACATTTTTATCAAGAAAATAAGGAGAGAATACATCTGTAGAGAGTGAGAGAGTGAGGGAAAAAGAGAGAGAGTGAGTAAAAGGAATTAAAAAAAGAATACAAAAGTGAATCTATATTTTTTTTCCATTTTGTGACTCTTTCAACTATCACCTACTCGATATTCCTTTCTATGAAAAAAAAGAATGAAGATAAATCAATTCAGTACACTACTCCCATATTTTGATCAAGAAAAAAAAAATTCATATTTAACTCTTACGGAAACAATACTTCCAAGAAAGAAATCCCTCTTCTACAATCTGGTTACTTTATGATTACAAAACAAGTCAAAAACCAGTACGACTGGTACTACTATTATGAATCAGCTTAACCAAATAAGCTTTATTATTGTACTTAACCAACCTTAAAACAACTAAGCCTCTTCTTCACAACCTTTTCTTAGAATAGATAAGGACAATTAGAATCTCTACACACATAAAGAAAAAAAAAAGATTAAAATATGTATTCATACTGATTCCTTGACAACGAAGATTGTTCCTTCACACACTGCTGAAGTAACCTACAACACAACACAGCAACATGGATATCATCTCATCCACCACTTGCAAGCAAGAACAACCAACAGCGTAACAACTGCTCCATAACTTTCCTCATAATACATCATACACAACTATAACCAAAAGCTAACTGCCCCCACCCCCACCACCAAAAAAAAAAAAAATAAATAAATAAAATAAAAACAACAACCTCCTTTCACTCAAAAAACACCCTGTACTAAGAAGAGGAACCGGGAGACACCATCTCTCAAAAAAATATATAAATCTTTTCTTTTTTATTTTATAGCTTCTGCTTCTTCTTCTTCCTACACGCCCGTAATAACACCGAGCATTGATGTTTTCTCTGACTGTTGCAGCGCTTTTGTTGGCGTTGTCATTGCACTTTTTTCTTCTTTGCGCCACTGTTTTCTCTTGCACTACCATGTATATATATCTGCATGTATTCTGTAGAACTCAGCATTAGCAACAAAACAAACAACACAATCTAAATAATCCATGACAATCCAGAAGGTGCACGGTCGCGAGGTTCTCGACTCGCGTGGTAACCCCACCGTGGAGGTGGAGGTGACGACGGAGCTGGGCGTGTTCCGCTCCGCTGTTCCTTCCGGTGCTTCCACCGGAGTCCACGAGGCGTGCGAGCTGCGCGACGACGACAAGAAGCGCTACGTGGGCAAGGGCTGTCTTCACGCTGTGAAGAACGTGAACGACGTTCTGGCCCCCGCACTGGTGGGGAAGGATGAGCTGCAGCAGTCCACACTGGACCAGCTGATGCGCGACCTTGATGGAACGGCAAACAAGAGCAAGCTCGGTGCCAACGCCATTCTTGGGTGCTCCATGGCTATCAGCAAGGCAGCAGCTGCACGCAAGGGCCTCCCGCTCTACCGCTACCTGGCGGAGCTGGCCGGCACAAAGGAGGTGCGTCTGCCCGTGCCGTGCTTCAACGTGATCAACGGTGGCAAGCACGCAGGCAACGCCCTTCCATTCCAGGAGTTCATGATTGCACCTGTGAAGGCGGCCTCATTCAGCGATGCGCTGCGCATGGGAGCTGAGGTGTACCACTCACTCAAGAGCATCATCAAGAAGAAGTACGGTCAGGACGCCGTCAACGTCGGTGATGAGGGTGGCTTTGCCCCTCCGATCAAGGACATCAACGAGCCACTGCCAATCCTCATGGAGGCCATTGAGCAGGCTGGCCACAAGGGCAAATTCGCCATCTGCATGGACTGTGCCGCCAGCGAGGCATATGACGCGGACAAGAAGCAGTACAACCTGACCTTCAAGGACCCCGAACCGACCTGGGTGACGGCGGAACAGCTGCGCGCCACGTACTCCAAGTGGGCCAGCGAGTACCCCATCGTGAGCATCGAGGACCCCTACGACCAAGACGACTTCACCGGCTTTGCCGGTATCACCGAGGCCCTTAAGGGGAAAGCACAGATCGTTGGTGATGACCTGACGGTGACAAATGTGGCACGCATCAAGATGGCCATTGAGAAGAAGGCATGTAACTCCCTTCTCCTCAAGATCAACCAGATCGGTACCATCACAGAAGCCATTGAGGCATCCAAGCTCTGTATGTCGAACGGCTGGTCTGTGATGGTGTCCCATCGCAGCGGTGAGACAGAGGACACATACATTGCAGACCTCGCAGTGGGTCTTGGATCTGGCCAGATCAAGACAGGTGCCCCGTGCCGTGGTGAGCGTACCGCGAAGCTCAACCAGCTTCTGCGCATTGAGGAGGAACTTGGCGCACACGCCAAATTCGGCTTCCCCGCGTGGGCATAAGGATTTCAGTCCTTCACGATAGTATTTTGCAAACAAATATTCTATTCCTGATACAAAAGATGATTCCGATGCTTTCTCTTTGCGTGGGTGTTGGAAAGAGTGTAGAGAGTCTGTAGTGGAACCACTCACTCAAAACCCAAAAGAAAAGCAAATAAAATAAAGAAAAAAAAAGAAAGAAAAGAAAAAAAGGGAACGCCCGAAAATAGGGTCTGGGAGCCTATGTTTAAGGTAATGAAGAGAAGATGGTAGGAAGGATGGTCTACACGGTTTACTTTAACAAATGGATAGTCTTTTTTTTGGTAATGTTGTTCTTATGTGAAATCTGATCATAATGATTGTAGAGTTTTGCGTAATATTGTAAAGAATATGTTTTTCTTTTGTTTTTTGAGTTGGTTTTTGGTCGGGTTTTGTTACTAATTATTGCTTTGTAGTATAGTTGCTGAAAGAAGGTTTCACAATTTGCTTTATGTAGGTTATGCGGTTTCCTGTAGATTCGTCCTTTTCGGATCTTGAATGGAAGACAAGTATAGAAGTGTTTTCCGCTTATATCCAGCATAATGGTCCTACTCTATTTTCTTTTGATTTTCATCCAGCGCATGTTCCTCATATGATTTACCATATAGATGGTATTTTAACTTTGGAGTGCAGTAATCTCATTATCTACTTTGATGCGGATCATGCAGCAAATTTTAGTTCTATGCGTGATTGTATGGTTTGTTTTACCATGCCAAGGGATCTTGAGTTTATTAAGTTGTTTGAAGAGGCTTTATCGTCATTTGGTACAGAATGGGCGGAAGTGAAAGATGGAGAATCTTCGTTGTATCATCAGTATGAATCTACTAAAGCACAAGTAACAGATGAGATTTTCCGATTTGAACAAAATGAAGATGTACAGTTCCAAGTGTTACGCAGTCAGATTGCTTTAATGCAAAAGTTGCTGAATCAGAAAGATGCACATATTAATCACTTAAATAAGCAGATAGAGTATCTACGAGCCAATAAGATGCAACCCTTACAAACCACATCTGTTACGTATTTGGTTGAATCTCCTTGTATCTCATCTATCACAGAGAAAGAAAATGAACATACCTTGGCGAAAACAATAGACCATCTTTTCTGGAGAAGGGATCAGGTAAATAGTCAACAAGATTGCCGCGCACGAGTAGGACTCCGAGGAATTCAGAAACTCAAGAAACAGGAATGTCATTCAGAGATGCCTCCAGAAGAGGGTATTAAAACGTTTGAAGGGGTTATGGAATACCTGCTTGATACATCACCAGAACAGCTTTTGGCTATGTATCGATTAGTTTTTCCAATACCTGCGACCCTACCACCCAATTACGATGAAGTATGGAATAAATTCGTATCCTGGGTGTACGCTCTTCCGGAAGGAAAGCCGTCTTCTAGTTATGTCGATGTTGGAAGACAACTGTACACGGAATTGCGCACAATACAATCTGCACATGATAATATTGAAGAGTGTATCCAAACTTTGCCCAGGGTCATTGACAAACCTTTAAAAGAGGAAGCTCCTCCTCCTCAGGCGTTGCAAAAGGCGAAAATTTTAATAATACCACCTACCGACACTGAATGTTATGGACGACAATTGAAAAATAATCAAAATCATAATTCCGATCAAAGAGAAAATGTTCAACTCTTGCGACATGACTCTGCTTTAGGTGAAAGAAGGAGAGGTCGTTCACGTAGCAGAGGTAATTATCGATCACGATCTCGATCCACATTTGTTAAGACTATTGAGAATATAAGTGAAAACAATAGAACCCCCTCGAGGCACGATACACTATCTGGGGCATTGGGCCGCAATCATAGAGAAGTAAGAGCAGTTGATAACGTTGGTGTAAAAAAATTGCAAAAATTGGCCACATTACCATGGGAACTACCAAAGTCAAAGAAAGATGGGATATCTCCTTTTTTTCAGGGGCATAACCTTTTTCGACGAAAACATTGTACTCTTTTACCGTCTAAAGAAGAAGAAGATCGTTTGCCCTTACAACAAGTTGATGTAGACCCTCTATCTCTTAAATGGATTAGGCGGCGACTGAAACAAGAGGCACAAGACTATTTTAACAGAGTGTGGAACATCATGCGGCGACCTCCCACTCCCAACGAAGAGAAAGGGGAACCGCATTTGCGCATTAAAGAAAAAGATGCAGTACTTTTGAAAAAGGCAGGTGTTATTCGAGAAGCTTCAGAACACCCTACAATCGGATGGGTACTACCTTTTACAGTGGTGGAAAACCAACCATCAGGGCAGAAACGTCGTTTAATTGCGTGGGCGAAAGCAAAGAACGATCAGGAAAATTACGATATCGACGTTCCATTGGATTACATTTCCGAATATCTCAGTGCAGTTTATGATGAATCAGCAACTTTAATGAACTTAAAGTCTTCTTCCTTCCAAGTTGTTTTACCAGAAGATATACAGGCAAATTTTCGCTGTCGAACAGAATCTGGAGAACTTGTGCAGTTTACTCGTCTTCCTATGGGCTATAAGTGTAGCTTAGAAATTCTTCATACTATTACAAGAGTTTTAGCAGGAGATCCTAAGATTGTAAAACCGCAGTTCGCTGCTCCTAAAGAATTGAAGGTACATGTTTGGATTGATAGTATCCGTGTAAGTGGTTCACGAGAAATGGTGGATAGATGGACAAAACAGATTTTTCAGAATATGCAACAATGTGAAGCTACAATAGGAGAACAGGAAGTAATTACTGAAAAATATGAATTTATAGGTGTACTATTTAATCATGAGACTCAAACCATCTCTTTAGGCCAAAAGATGATACAAAAATTAAAGGAAGCCCCCTCTTTTCGAACATCTACAATGGAAGAGATGGAGGATACTGTTTTTCGAATTATGTACGCTTCAGGTGTACGAGGGGATTCTCTTTTTACTTATTATTTTTTCTTGAAGTTGGTGCGTCAACGATTATCACGCATTAATAGTGGGTTTTTGTGTATGCAAGATTCAGCAGATCTACCTTCACATGCGTTAAAGGTGGGAGAAGAATGGATTAAACACTTATTGAAGAATGAACCCGTTCATCCTCCAAGAAATTTAAAAACTTCTGCTACATTGGTTACAGATGCATCTATGCATGGGTGGGGGGCGTTGTTGTTCAAAGATACTGGAGAAGTTTTGGCCGCAGGTGGCGCATGGGAACGTGCACCACATATAATTTCACAAGGTGAAGCTCGAGCCGTCCATTTGGCACTGCGCGCCTTTGAAGCGCATTTAGTCGATCCTTTACATATTTGCGTTGATAACACTACGGTTATGAATACCATGAGGAGGGGAATCACAAATTCAGATGCTTTGGTAGAAGAAGCATCTGCCATTGATAAGGTTTTGCAAGAATGCAATATACAAGCTACATGGAGCTATGTGGCTTCAGAGAATAACCCAGCAGATGGTATTTCGAGAGGGAAATCTATTAAAGAGATAGATGTAGCCAAAGGGTGGTATTTGCGAATGGAAGCGAGGGAATCTGATTAATGAAAAATTTTATTTCATTTTTTTTATTTATTTAATTGATGCGAAATTAGCTTCTGAAAAGAATGTCTGAGAAAATGAGGCTAAATAAATGAAGTTTTTTTTTGTTTGTTTGTTTTCCTCCTTTATTTTGCTCTGTTTTTTTTTTTTTTTTCGTCCCAACTTCCCTCAACATATTATAGAGGGGTCTAGTGGTGATGGGACCCAAAAACTCTTCTACTTTGCAAGGTAATCGACAAACTCGGGTATCACAAATTTGTTTTTGTGAATGATTTGGTTTGACGAAGGGCGAACTATTGATAACGGTAATAACGTCGTAGAAAAGGTGTAATATTGATTCTGTCTCTTGGTATTTTCTTCTATTTGATATATATGTATTTATATGGAAGGAAAAGAATGAATTCAGTCCCATATTTACTCCTATTCTTTTGTATTACTTTTATTAATACTTGCTATAGCGGTAATGAATTACTGATTTTATTCGTTTTTTTTTTTTTTTTTTTTTTGTGCTTGACACTAGAAACATATGGGCGGAGTGGGTTTTTATTTTATTTTTACTTTGATCAATTGCTATATCTGGTAAGTCATAAGGGTGTTGTCTCTGTAATATGTGTATATATGTATATTGTTTTTGGTTTATGATTTCTCTTGGTATTTTTGTACCTTTTTATTTTTTTTTTGTTGAAGTGGTTTTCCGTGATAAGGTTGAGTGTTGTGAGTTATGTCTGGTTTGACTGAGTTGCTGCTTGCTTTAGGCAATGCGGATCCCGCGGTTCGTGTGCCAGCGGAACAGCAAGTGAACCATGCGCGTCAGAGTGATCTTGTGGGATTTCTGTACGCGTTATTACAAGAATTTCGTGATGAGGAAAAACCTGCATTCTCACGTCATATGGCTGGTACACTTCTGAAGAACGCAATCGCTCCTAATCTTCGCGAAGGTGCAGCACGACGGGCACTTGAAAGGGAGTGGATGGCACTTCCAGCAGAAGTTCGTGTTAATGTTAAACAGGGTGTTCTTGCTTGTCTTGGTTCGCCAAAGAAGGAAGTACAGAATGTGGCTGCTAACATTATTGGTAATCTCTCACGTATTGAACTACCAGCAGGGGAGTGGCCAGATCTACTTAATATCCTGCTTGGCGTTGCAGAGTCAAGTGAACAGCATCAGGAAGCTGCCCTAACGGCAATTGGTTATGTCTGTGAAGAAGGACGTGAACATGAGGCAGTGGAACAGGCTTTGGCACCTTTTACAAATGGTATTCTTGTTGCCGTTCTTCGAGGTATGAGTAGTGGTAAAGAGGAGGTATGCTACTACGCAACAAATGCCTTATGTAACGCAATGGAATTTATTCATGATAACATGAATCAACAAGATCAACGTGATCAGTTGGTCGATGCACTCTGTACTACTGCAAAGACAAGTCAAAATCCACGAACACGTGAAAAGGCGATGGAATCTCTTGTTAAAGTTGCAGATATGTACTATTCAACACTTCCAAATTATATTGATCGATTACATGCAATAACAACGAGTTCTATTTTTAATGATGAAGAAGTTGTTGCTTTACAAGCTATGCTTTTTTGGATTTCTATTTGTGAAACAGAACGCGATATGAAAGAGGACGGAGATGGAAAATGTCTTGATTATGCCCTTAAAGGAGCATCTATGATATCTGAAATTGCGCTTCAAGCACTTCTTCGACAAGAAGAAACTCAAGAAGAAGGTGATTGGAATATTTCTATAGCAGGAGGTAAACTTCTTCAAAGTCTTGCTGCGTGTATTGGAAATCCAATAATTGATTTGGTTATGCCATTTGTATATAGAAATGTTGAAAGTGCAAATTGGCGTGAAAAGGAAGCTGCTGTTATGGCGTTTGGTTGCATCTTAAACGGACCTGATCCTAAGAGTATTGAGGATACTGTAGCGCAAGCTGTGCCAGGACTCTTACAATATGTACGTGATGATAATCGTTTGGTTTCAGATACTGCTGGATGGGTTTTGGCTGTTGTATGTGAACTTTTCAGTGATGTTTTCCTTTTACGGCCGTTGGATTTACAGCAATTAATGAATATTATTTCTCCAATGATAGCTGGAGGTGATGAAAGGGCTATTCGAGCTTGTCACATTCTTCATAACCTTGCTCTTGCTTATGAAGAAGAAGAAAACCAACCAACCAATGAGTTATCAGGTTATTATCCCAGTTTACTTAATGTATTGCTTGTAGCCATTGATACAGGCAGTAATCAAAGTGTAAAGGGTGTTGCACAAGAAGCTCTAAATGTACTCGTTGATGCAGCTGCAGTAGACTGCTATCAATATCTTCATGTTCTCGTTCCTGAACTTCATAAACGTATGCAATTTATTCTTGAAGCACGTTTACAAGGTCAAATGAATGATATGGATGTTATGGCTATGCTTGGTCTTCTTTGTGGTTCTTTGGGTAGTGTAGCGAAGAAAGTTCAGAATGATTTTGTGCAACATTTACCAGCGAGTATGGAAATTTTAATGCAGATTTTGCATATTCAGGAAGATACTGTTGTGGATGAAGCTCTTACTATGTTGGGTAGCTTTGCACATGCTGTTAAACAACAACTTACCCCTTATGCTGGAAATTTTATTCCTTATGTGTTAAAGGCGTTACAGTGTGTTGATGAACCAGATCTTGCTGTTGTTGCAGTTGGAACTGTTGGTGATTTATCCTTAACTCTTCGAACTGATATGGCGCCTTATATCAGTACAATTCTAAATGTACTAAATGAAAACTTAATTAACCCACATGTTGACCGGAGTTTGAAGTGTACATTCCTCAATTGTCTAGGAGACATTGCACTTAATGTTGGTGACACCCATTTTGCACAGTATCTTGACACGTTTATGCAACTTGTTCAATCATTCTTTCAGAAAAGCTGTGCTATTAATATAAGTGAAGATCCGGATAGTGAAGAATATGTAATGACACTTTGGGAAAGTATCTCAGTTTTCTACACCAGTGTGTGTCAGAGTTTTAAGACTTCTGAGATGCAATTAGCCCCATATCTGCAAGGAATTCTTCAATTCGCACTACACGCAGCAAAAACGGCAGAATCTCTCGAATACGTTGAAGTGTTTGTGGCTGCTGTTTCAATTATTGGAGATATGGCGTGTGTTCTTAAGAGTGTTCGTTCACCAGAGCTCCGGCAGCAGGGAAAGAGCGCGTTGCTGGCACCGCCCGTGCTGCAACTAGTGAGGCACGCCGTCACCGCATTAGCCTCCGATGAGGATAACAGAGATCAGATGAAGTGGGTAGAAAAACAGCTTGAGTTGTTGCAAGCAGCATAAACAGAAGAATACAAGAAAGGAGGTGGGGGGAAAAAAGACCACGGGAAAGAAATGATAGAGAAAAAATGAAGAAGAAGAAAGCGATATATGCTTGCACAGAGGAGGGTAAAAGGCAATGAGAAGCAGGAAGGGAAAACCAAAAATGAAATTGAATGAAAATTTTTAAGGCCAGATGTGTGAAACGAAAAAGAAAAAAAAAAGATAGGAATAGGTGATCCCCTGTTCAATGTGTCCTTCTGCCAATGTTAAAGAGGTCCTATCATTAGCGGAGGTGGTACGTGTTGTCACGTTTGATAACTCTTCTTCCGCAGAATTTTGAAGACCTTTTCTAATATGAACGAAGCTTTTCTTTAAAACGAAAAAAAAAGAGAGTAAAAAGAGAGATTATTAAAGACATCTAAACTGAGATACAGAAAAAGTTGCTTTCATTGGAGTAAGGGAAAAAAAAAAAAAAAAGAAAGTCAACTCTAAGATTGTGAGAGGAAGAGTCACGAAGAGAAGCAAGAATTTGGTGTTCGGTTTGTGTAGTGTATTTGCACAAGTATATGTGTTTGTGTAATGAATTGAGGTAGAAAGAGAAAGAGAGACGGATAGTCTAACACTTTCAGTTGTAGTTTTTGAATATTGAAGAAGGGTCTCCAAAGAATAAAGGGAACTCTCTTCTCTTTTTTTTAATAAGTTCACATTTTTATATATATATATATGTGGTTGTGGGCAGACTGTCAAGTCAAAATTGAGCACGTTTCTTCATTCATGAAGGGTTTGACCATCCATTGCGTTTCCTAACTTTCGGGTAACAACAACGGCAACGGTAACGCAAGAGAAAAAAAAAAAAAAGAAAAGAAACATGAATAAAGTGCAAGTGCAAAGTGTATATGGACTCTTCTCCTTTCACCTTTCCGCTTCATTCACGTCAATTTCGTTCTCACATGTTTTTTTTTTCCTCCTCTTCTCTTTCCGTTTTTTTTTTTTCTTGTTTTTCTTTCTCTAATGGACTTGTTTAAACGTGGGTTTTCTTCCTGATTCTGTAAATCAAGTATGTTGGCATAGAACTAATAACTGTGTTCCCCTGTGTCCTTCTTTTTTTTTTTTTCTTTTTTTCTGGTGTCTACTTTGATAATGAAAAATTAAAAGTCTCACTTTGACTGAACGCACACACATAAGTATATATATATATATATATATATATTTATTTATATATAGTATTTACTCACTCACCCCCTCTAACGGTTGCGGTGTGTGGAGGATAGTGTGCCGCAAGGAAGTAAGCTTAATAGAAGAGTAAAAAGAGGAGGAAGAAGAAGTTTTCAGGGTTTTGTGAGTCTCTGCATCAACAGCGAAAAAAAAAAAAAGGAAGGACAAAGACAAAACACCATTTTTCAGCACCCACAGCCGTTTTGTCAGTAGAGCCGGTAACGTCACCTGTGTTAGGGCAAAGGTAGTGAGAGAGACAGAGAAGTTATACACTGAAGAAACAATAAGAGCAAGAAGCCTCGCAATACTGAATTCATTTAATGGACGCCATTCCACCCGAGTACGATAAGGAGACAAAGGAGCGGATCTACCGCCAGGAGTGGTTGGAGTACTTCAACTATATTGGCTGGGAGGCCGCCATGCGGGACCATCCCGCGCAGTACTACGCGATTTACCCGGCGGGTGGTGCCGGCGGCAGCGGCGGAGGGCCGGTGGAGGGGCCGGGGGTTCTCGGCGGTCAGCCGCCGGTCCTCGGCCACCCTACCAGTCTTCTCTACGACGGCGCCGTCCTCGCCGCACCGCACATCACCACCACCGCCTCAGCCGCACACATGTTTCTTGATGACAGCAGCAGCAGTAGTAGTAGTAATGGCAGCAGCGGCTCCTCATTGTCATCGACATCATCTGGGTATTCATCATCACGCTCGAGTTCGGCATCGGGAAGGCAACAGCAGCGACACCGCCGTGACGCAGATGACGGTGGCAGTGAAGGTGGGAAAAAGAAGAATTCCTCACGGCACCATCGCCGAGGTAGCAGCGGTAGCAGGCACCGAGAACGTCGCCGTCACAATGAACGCTCTCGACGACGCAGCACACGACGTGATGATAAATCGAGGAGAAAACGTGACGAAGCTGGTGGTGGACGGCGAAAGCGCGATCGTGAGAGTGATGGTGAAAAGGATCCTCGACGCCACGAGAGGAGCTCACGTAGCAAATACCATACAACTGATGAAGAAGAGCGACGTCGACGACGCCATGAGGAATCACAGTACCATAATCATCATCATCATCGCTCTGATAGAGACGGAAAAGGTGAGAGGGGACATGGAAAGGAAAGGCCATCATCATCATCAGCACCACCGCCAGTATCGTCCTCTAATGTCGGTGTTGGTGGTAGTGGTTACAGCAGCGCGTACAAGGGCCGGTACGTTTTGAATGATGAACGTGATAAGCGACGTGGAAAGGGTGGGAACAGTTCTGGTGGTGGTGCCGCCCCTGTTCCTGCTCCTTCCGCATCTGATAGGTACGAGGATCGAAGGGAGGATGCTCGTCAGCGTCGATGGCGCGACGGCGATGGACGACGAAGAAAGTAAAAAAGAAAAAAAAAAGAATCTGGTGACAGCGTAATAGGGGGAAAAAAAGAAAGATAAATTACAAAGGTTCCAAGAATCTTTTTTTTGTCTGTAGGGAAATGCTATTTGTGCGTGAAAATAGATTGAGGTAATACTACTGTATTTTCTCTTTTCTCTATAGGTATAAAAGGTTTCTTGAATAGTGTTTTGCTTCCTACTTACTGCAATATACGAGAATAGAGGAGAGCATTTAACAATTGATGCCAGAATAGGATACACGCAAACTAATCAATTTTTCTTTAGTGTATATATATAAAAAAAAGAGGTTTTTTTTCCCCCATTTTACATTCACTTTTCACTTTTTTTTTCTCCGTTTTCTTGTTATAGTCTTCTCACCTCCTTGCGGATTATCATCTCTCTTTTACTGTAAGATTTATTATTTTGGAAGTAATGAAAAGCGGACAGAAAGTGCGGCCCTGATGGAGTCTGTGGAGAGCAATGGTCCTCTTTATTGGCTGTTTCCCTATAGGCTTCTGCTCTTTTGTTTTTCTCGTTTTTTCTTCTGTGCTACCCATGGTGCAATTCGCTTTTACCACGAATTCATTTATATTGCACATAAAGTGATTCTCCGTTGTAGAGGTTTTTCTCTTACTCAAAATAATTCCTTGTGACAATTTTGGGTGTGCATGAAGATCGTTAAGTATTGTATCGGCTGTTGTGGTATGGGTAGCACAAGACGGGAATAGCAGGGAGGGAGCAGGATTAGAGGGTATCGTGTTTGGTGAGGTTTATGAAGGTATATACTTAAATGATTTATTTATAAATAGAACTAGCTAATATTTAAAAATAATTTCCTTTCTAAGAGGTTTTGTTTTGATTTCTATCATTTTTTTTTTCATTTTTTTTTTTTTTTTTTTTTGCTTTTTCTCATCCTTTTATCTCCATGGTTTATTCTAGAAAGGAAGTTGTGTCATATATATATATATATATATATCGTATTAGTAGTGATAGCACACTAACTAACCACAAAGATGTTGCAGCCGCATACCAAAAAGACAAGTAGGAATGCAGTTTCCACCCCTTGTAGAAGTAGGGTCTTGTCACCATCGCCATCATCAAAAAGAGGAGTACTCTCAGCCGAAAAGAGATGGAAGTCAGCAAGTAAGATGGGGTATTTTAATAAAGGAAAACAAACAGATAATAATCAGTCTTATGCAAGTATTCAATCCAAATCTACATCTCTCTCATCATCAAATGCATTGATTTCACTTGGACCGTACGCATATATAGTGCGTCAACCAGGAGTAAAGGAGATCACAGAAAAGTTTGGATATTCTCCTCTTGGTGTAAACAGAAAGCAAGAAGAGCAAGAAGAAGAAAAAGAGTATCTGCAGAGTGGGATACCCTGTGAATCCAATAATAAAAAGCAGATACATACAGAAAAAGAGAATGAAAAAGAACTATTTTGGATATCCCCAATTGCACCTTTACGATACGAACATAGTATAAAGGGGCAAAATACATCCATGGCATCTGACCCGTTGGCATTTTCACCGCAACCAAATCTTCCACCAGATAACTCTTACTTAGATGATAACACACACAATGATAGACCTCGTGAATGGAATGTTCGGCGGGAGTACAGTACAAAATCATCACCGCAAGCTTCCACAAAACTTCTTGCAGAGTTGCTTCGTCGAATGCAAAGACATTTAACTCCGGAGCATAAATCTTCTCCTCTTTCTCAACCCCATGACAGTTCTACTAGGAAAAGTAAATTGGGTAATCACCCAAATAAGCGAGAAGAAGAAGAAAAACAGCAGCGTAACTGTTATCCTTCAAAAACTCTTTCCAGTTCGAATTCTCATGTAAAGACTGATACTCAACACATCATCACCCCCACTCATCATGTTGAAGAACCTCGTCATAATGAGGCTTTAGAATCTATCGCAATAAATCCACAATATACAGAGAAACTATTTCAAGATACTGAAGGTTTACCGTCAAGTAAGAGTCCTCCTCGCACTAATCGCAGCAGTCTCGATACACTGGAGTGGGGGGATCAACTATGGCGTGATATAAAAGAAGATGATGAACGTATGTGTCGTTGGCTTGCAGAACGAGGTCTATGCCCAAACGGGGATGTCCTCGCATTGCGGGTTCTCGCAGACTATCTAAAGAAAAAAGTAAGTCGTGTTGAAGACGAGTATAACCAACTTTTTTGGTCTTCTCGTCAAAATATTCCTCCATTGCAGCATGAGGACTTCCAAGAAATCTCTTTGGGAATTTTGGGAGGGAAAAAAATATCCCTTCAGAAACAAAAACAGATAGTACACCCTTATGGGAATAACGCTGAAACGAAATCAGAATATTTAGAAAATCGTACACATTTTTCCGATACATCACGAAATAAACCACCGGGTATTCTTCAGACTTTTTCTAAGAATAATTCTAAAAAAAGGAATAATACTCCTATTGTCTCTAAAACTACCGCTACTACAGTTCCTGATGATAATAATGATAATGATGATGATGATTCTCACAAGAAGAAAAGAAGTGTTAGTAGTAGCAGTGTGTTACCATTACCAATATCACGAAAGAGTTATGGGCACTCTTCTAAAAAGGCACAGAAGTGTCGATTTGTGGGTGATGTCTCTTCATTCTACACAGGAAAATCGTTAACAGAGGAAATAGATAAGAAAAAAGCATCTAGTGGGAGTATCAAAAAAGATGATGATGAAATTTCCCCATCTGTATCGACAACTTCTTCTTCTTCTGGGAAAGAGAAGATAATGCATCGTGACCATGATCATCATCATTATAACCGACACGAAGAGAAATACAGTGTGAAACAATCATGGTCTCAAGAAAAAGAAGTTGAAACTAAAAAAATGGATCCTCCTAAATTCTGGAGAGAAGGAATGAGTGCCTCTAAACCTTCCAAAATTCCACAACTTCCGGAGGATCCATTACCACCTTTAGGTGCACTTATACATCCCCTAACTCTACCAAATATTACAGACGTTCATGATCTCTCTGCAATAGTGCGTTTGCGTAATTACTGTAATCAACTAAAGAAGGAACGAGATCGTTTACTTCATAAGAAATGCACACAAAGGAAAGAAAAGACTGACGGCGTTGACACAGTGTCAACTACAACAAAAAGAACAACCTCACAACACTGTCACTTATCACAGAATCATCATGATCGAAGCATTTCTGTTCAGTGTAGTCTATCTTCCATTTCCTCTCCCTCATCAGATGGCCGTGATGTGCCTTTATCTACACATTATGATGATAGACATCATCACAACTATCAGGAGTCTAAGCAAAAAGATGAGGAGACGATGACAATGGCATATACAAAAAAAAGAAGATCAAATAAGAGTGTAGACACTACCACACTCACAGCAACGCCGCCGAAGCATTCCGTTTCCTGTCAAACAGATGGATACATTGAAAATAATTCCCCTATTGTGTTTTCTCCATTTCATTCATTAAAATCATCACGTTCTGTTAGCAACATTCCACATGAGCCACGCACTGGGGTGCCTTATGGGGCTCTGAAAGAAGTGGGACGCTCACGTTCACAAACCGCCGCTTACTTGATGAGTCCTACTCAACCTTTACATCAGAGTGAAGTGGTGAGTAGTCATTCATCAGCAAACGTTATTCATAATAGTCCATTGAAAGCCCCACCGCGACAAGAGTATTTAAATAAGATGAATATGTCTTATGTTTGGAGTGTTGGATCGACCACTTCGCATCCTTTTCCATCCGATAGAGTTTCTGCACAAGATTATAGAGGTGCCACGAAAGTATTACACCATTCTAATTGCAAAGTGGATCCTGTAGAAGAAATAGAGGAATTTACCACACCTGATAAAGGTATTTCGTTAACTGCTGCTCCTGAGTCGTTGTTAAATGAATTTCCAAAGGAACAAGAAGGGCAAAATTTGCATTTGGGTGTGAAAGAAAGATCTCCTGTGAGTCAGATGAAAAGTAACGAAACGTCGTTATTACAGGGTAGTCGTACTCCGTCCAGAATGCAGAGAAGCACTACAAGAAGTATACGAAGTGGGGCTGTGGTCTATAGTAGTAGTAGTAGTGAATACAGTAGTGACAGTAGTAATACTGTTAATGTTAGACATGGTTTAGATAATAAAAGAAGACTATCACCAGAAAAACCACAGCAACAACGTTTCACTGCAGAAAAAAAAGAATTCCCTTTTACTACTACCACTGTTACTAATACACCAACTGTGAAAATGTCAACACATAACCCCAACTCTTCCTTGTCTAATAACAACATGTATGAAATGAACCGTAGTAGAAGTGATGGTGGTGGAAGCCGTTATGTGGGGAGCATAAACAATAGCAACATCTCAACAAAAAGAGGAATGTCATCGCAACAACAAAATAGATCCAATAGTATTACGGAGAAAAGTGTTCATGGCTTTTTTGTACGTGTGATTCCTGTGAATGGTGAATTTAACAATAGTAAAGAGAAAGTATCCCCTCAAGAAAAAGTGATTGTATCGCGGTCTCGTCGATTTGGACTGACAAAGTAATCAACGTTGAGGGGTTAAATTCCCTAAAGATTATGCTAGTGTTATATATTTGCCGATGGTTTGTAGTTAGTGTACATGCAAATTTTACTTAACGATAAACTGATGTGGATGATGATGATGATGATGATGCACATTTGTTTTTTTTTTTTTATTATTATTATTTTTCTTCATTTGGTTTGTTTCTGTTGATAATCATGTACATTCTTATTGCTTTGTTTTATTTATTCTCTTTGATTGTTTTCATGCGTCAGATGTATACATCTATACCAGTATTTGGGGGGTTTTTGATTTTTTAAAGTACTGCATAGTGCGAGTACAAGCCATATTTCTCTCTCTGTTGTTGATGATTCTACTTGTGGAGTGTAGTATGGTTCTTTCTATACATATATACATACATACATACATGCACAACATTGCGCACGTTAGACGAATAAATATATCCTTTTTTGTATTCTCTCTTTACTTGATCCAGCTTGATAAGGTATATTTCTGTTCCTTTGTTATTTTCACAGAGCTGACACTATACATTGTACCATTATTATTATTATTATTATTATTATTATTATTATTATTCCTACTAGTGAAATTAGTGGTGATTTACAGATCCAAGAAACAAAGAAATGAAAAGAAAAAATAAATAAATAACTGTCACTTTCTGTAATGAATCTTCTTTTTCTTCACTCTTCTTTTCTTTATTTATTTGTAAAGGCATATAGAGGGGCAGGGGGTGTCCTACTGACACGCTTTGAGCCGAAGTGTACAGAAAGAAAAAAAAGAATCAACGCGCATATTTATATATATATATATATATATATATATATTGAAAGAGAAAGAGGTAGTAAAAGAGAGGTGTGCATATTATCATAAACTGAGAAATGGGTAGCTGCTGCTCTTCACATAAGGGCGCTGCTGAACACACCGTGGGGCACAGGAAACAAAGCACCAGTCAAGGAGACTTACCATCACACGAGAATTCATTGCCGCCAGCAACACGTTCCGCATCATCATCTCGACTACGACAGGACGGGAAGGCCGCTGGTGAGAGTGGAACTGGAAATGGAGAAAATTGGATGGTGATACCGTTGCCAGCAGCCAATCCACAGGAAAATATAGAGGAGACTCCAGTGCAAACAGCTGCTGAAGGAAATGAAAAGAAAAATCCAGGTCCTCCTCTTGCTCGTGTAGGAACAAGTTATGAGACTCCTGTACAAGAGAATAAGAAGAAGGAAGAGGAGGTTGAGGATGAAGATGATGGGGAACTCTACAGTGTTGCGGAAGAATCAAGTGACAGTGGTAATCAAATCATTCTTGGGCATTCAACCTCAGCTGCTGTTAGTACTCCAACGCGAAAAGAAAAAACAGAAAGACCCATACACGCAGAGTCAGCATTTCCAAAGGACCATGATGATTCCAGCAGCAGTAGTGATGTCTGGAGTGATTATCAAGAAGGACGACGTAGAAGTAACAGTAACGCTGGAGCCCTTATTACAACAGTTGGAACTGTTTCCACTTTTGTGGTGCATCCAGAAGAAAATCGTGATAGGGGAAATAGTCTTTCCATAAATTCTACTCATCCTGTTCAGAATGTTGAGAAGGAAGAAAAGGAAAAAGAATCACCACTACATTCGGTTGTTGTCGTTTCTAATGCAGTAAAAAATATCTGTGAAGAAACTTCAATGTCTCTCCTCCGGGCGGTTTCATTGGGTCATAATATGATGAAGAAAGAAGATCATACTGCAAGTGAATCACCAAAAGAAAAGAAAGAAGAAAAAATAGTGGAAAAGAAAACACCAGATGATACCAATAAAGAAAGTAACAGTGGTAATGCACTCGCGAATATTATACGCCAAAGTGTACATAAGGAACAAGAACGTCAAGGTGAATCTCCTTTACAAAGTCCAAGTCAGTCTGCAGGTTTAAAACCGCGTGAAAATATTATCCAACTTGACACTCTCTTCTCAGATAGCGATGATGAGAATAATAATGGAGCTGCTGGTCTCAATGAAAATCTTCATAAGGATCCACATAAGGGTTCTCCTCTCCAAGTTGGTGGTGGTGGTGTTGTTCTGCCTGTAGTGGCAAAGGTGAAGCAGTTTGATGAGGATTCCGTACATTCACAAGAGCACGAAGATCCGCCGAAAGGAATACAAACTTTGAAAGGTGATGAAGTGGTGAGTGCGGCAGTCGCAACGGCAGGAGTTGGGGGTATTCAGGACTATATTGACAGTGGCAGCAGTGATGGCGGTAGTGAGCGGCGGCGGTTAACGGCCATTGTACAGCGTCCCGCACCACCAACACCATCACCACCATCACAACAACAGCAGTATAAACCAGAAGAAGAAGAAGTAGAAGAAGAAGGAAAAAAGAGAACAGAGCCACGAGATGGAGAAGTTAGAGAAGTACGAACAGTTTCCCCGACACTTCGGAAAGAAGAAGTTGTGGGGAATGATAAAAATGAGGTAATGCGAGAGGAACAACGTAACCACAGTAACGATATTAACAATGACTACGGTGAGGATGGAAGCGATAATGATGTGGATGACGATATTAAGGGTGATGGTTCTCTGAAAAAACATCTTCCTGGTAGTGGTATTGTATTACCTACACAACCTCGTCCAGCGATGATTATCTCTCCTCCACCTGTAACTCCTCAAAGTAGGGAAGGTGAAAGTGATGATAATGATGATATTCATTAAATAGAGCCGATGGACAAGAAATGATGACTGTAGGAATAGTCTCCCTGATTATATGGAGAACTAAACCCCATATATGTACATACAGATATACGTATGTACATAGATCAAAAAAATATATTTATATTTATAGAGAGAGAGGGAGAGGGGATATTTTAAATCCAAGTGTTGGGAAATGGTTTACGAATGATCTTTGGATAGCATATATGTTATTGATTTTTACCGGTATGCAGAAAAGGACATTCAAATTTTGCAAAAGAAAAGAAAAGAAAAACAGTTAGTACAAAAAATTGTTTGTTCATGTCTGAGTGACTGTAGTGTGGCAATGATTATTAAATTCAGCCTTGTATACACACATAAACGCAGAGAAGATCAAATACGAAAAAAAGGAAGAAGAAAAAAAAAAACCACCCCAATTACTGACTCTCCTTAATATAGAGTACGGGGATAGTGGCAATATAATGACACTATACCTCGTAAGCTTTTCATCCTATCTTTTTTTTTTTTTGATCTAGTTATTCTTATTTTTCCTTATTGTTCTCTGTTTTTTGTAATATGTCTCGTTTTAAGGTTCACGTATTTTTCCTTTTTTTTTTTTTTTTTTTTTTTTTTTTATGTTTCCTCTTACATTTTTCTCTTTGTCAAATACCATCCACGAGTTAACAATTACTCTCTTTTTCTTTTTTCTTTTTTTTTTTTTTTGTTTTTACCCAACCCTCTACAACGGTAGAAACTTCTTCCTGTCTGTATAAATGAAATGCAGCGCCTAAAGAAGTCGATTGTATTAACGACGAAAGGGAAAAAGAGAGAATAAAAATTAAAATTAAAAAAATGAAAAAAAAAAAAAAACGGTACTTTGGGATATATCTGACGTTGCAGTGTGGGTATATTCTTGCCACGATAAATAAGATGGAAAGACGTAAACAAAAACAAAAACAAAAAAAAAA